AAAACAAGGCCAGAGAAAACTGTACTCGACTCGATACTACTGTACTTAACCTACTTTAATTACGTTAATATGGAAATTTTATTTTATTTCAGATATCTTTTTATTATTAATAATAATACTTTACGCTGCATCTTGGTGTGGAAGGTTTCATGAGTATCCACGGAGTGGCGTTAACACACTACGTATCTCGTAGTTTGTGCATTATTTTGTTAAATTCCTATCATAATTGTGAATTGTTAAAAAAAAACAGCACGGTGTGTTTTAAAATAACGCTCTCCCTCTTTCGGGAAAGCTTTAGAAAGTCAGTCAAGTCAGGGTCGGAGTTTCAAAGATTTTGCATTGCATTATGAATTAAAAGTTGAGAAAAAGTTAGTTTTGTCTTTTGTACAAATGTGTTGCTGCACAGGTTTTCATTAGATTACGTTTGTGGGGGTGTATGTGGTTGCCTCAGCCCACGTCCTGGGGGACAGCTGAGTAATGTGTAAATGTTGTCCTTTGATACTTAAATTAACATGTAGCCTAATTATGATAATGCAGCTTTTCGGTGAATTGACAATTTCAGCTGAAAAGGAACAAATGAAACAGAAAGAGTGTATGAAAATGTCACATATATTGGGAACAGTGTCCATTAGATTTCGTTTTTGGGGTATCTGGAAATGTAGGACATCAGTGGTGTCTGAAGCTGTCAAAATTTGCCACATCAGTGGTGTCTGAAGCTCTAGCTGGGTATTTCACACTTCATCTGTAAGCCTTGTGAACATTCACTTGGTCTCCTTGTTGAAAATGAAATGTTTTCCTAAATTTCATTATTTCTGTTGGGTCAATAACAACCTTATTTTTGAACAGGTGTGGATTTGAGAGTTACTGCGTCAAAATAACCAGAGATAAAAGAAAATTGGCCCAAGCTCTAACACACAGAGTGCTTGTGTTTTTGTCAACATATCTATCTTCCGTACCAGCTGAATTCTAGATCATTCCAGGAAAAGGACAGACAAGGACCTGTGTGCAGGAAGGAACGGGGATGTTTGCTGTTTCAAGCTAGAGGAGTTTTCTGTTAAAACAGTCAGGCTGGTTAGCCAAGTCTCAAGACAGGTGCTTCCCTTTCAGCTATCTGCTAGTGTTCAAAGTCAAAAAGGTCACTCTTAAACCTTAAGATTTTCATGTGGGAGAAGGACTGAGTAACTTACCTCTCACCCACCATTCAAGGTCAACTTCAGGGTCTCCAGGTCTAAACACTGCCAGAGCCCAAAACACAGCTGCTCATTAGGCTATCGACAGAGATTGCAGAGAGAAAGACCATGTGAAAATTTACACTGAGCCCAAATAAGCACTTTGCCTCTTTTTTGAGGGCCATTACACTGCCTTCAGCTACTAGGAATGGTCCTTATTGTGGATGTGTGGATATTGAACAGATTTTATCTGGATTCCTAGGAGGTTAAGCTGCCTGTATTTTTTTTTTAAATATTGCCATTCATAAGCGGTAGTAAATTTGCTGAGTAGTTTCCTGCATCTTTGTCTTGTTTTTCCCAATTTAATATCCTGTTTTTGGTTCCAGAATTAGAACTTGCATAGTCTTATGAACAGCAATTTCCTACGAGTCCCTGCTAGCCAAGTGAGTTTAGCAGTTTCTGTAGCAAAAGCACTATGCTGTGTATAGGGGTCATATGCTGAGGCCAGGCTGAAAGATATAAGCTCTGCTCTCATGCCTCCATGTTGGCAGGTTCAGTTCTGGCCACAGCTGGTTGTGTGGAGTTTGTAGGTTCTCATTAAAATAGGCTATTTAATTCCCATGTTCTGTAGACCCATTAATGGCCAGATCTAGAGACTCTGAGTTGCCCTTCCTAGGTAATAGGCCTATGATGAGCTTATATCTAGGCTTGGGGTGAATAGTGTTGTTAATCTGCTTGAAAACTCTGCACAGAATGCAAGATTTCTAAACTGCGTCAAAAATTTTGGAAATGGAACGTGAAACATTTGCAGATCCCCAGAAAATAACAATGGAAAATCTAAACTTTACAGCGCATTCTAATACGACTCAGAAATGGTTGAAACATTTGTTGTAGACACCCAACCCATGGTTAACTGGACAGGCTTGGTCCATGCTAATGGCTGGAAGGAAACACTCAGCTGTAGGAGAAGAGAGACCAAGAGCAAGATATAATCTGGAAATGGCCTAATTTATGGAAGACAAAATAATAATCTTTACGCTAACTGAGATTTTTCATCCTTTGTCGTACCTTGTTTAATATTTCTGCATAGCCATTTTTTCCATCTCTTACCATGAGCTAATTAACATTTCTCTCTCTTCTACACAGTTTCATCTGAACACAAGGACTGCCCAGCATTTCCTTAATTCCTTCAGATAAAAGCTTGAATGATCCCATATGCGTACTGAGCTATGTTTGCTCCACATTGTTTTATTTGATCAGACAATTCCCTTTTTTTTCTACTGGCAGAGCAGAATTTATGTAAGATTTACTTTAGTCCTGTATAGTCTAATTAGATTCTTAGGTGTTTGCAGTGTGTTATTTGTTTACTTGTGGACAAAACCATCTGCTAAATAATGTTAAATGTAAATGTAAAATATATCCTATAAGCAACACAGTATTCCAAAATGTGTTCAGATTTATTTAGGTGTAGTCATTGGTCTATTTAAAACATGGTGATACGTAAAAGATTCCAGTTTTTCTGGTTGTAGTGGGGTATTAAAATACTGAAACAACAAAGGATATGTAACACATTGATGAAAGCCTGATGCCAAAACGTGCTACACCCATGATGGATTGATAAAATGCCAAAAGTTTGGATGCAATCTTTGGCATTTCGAGTGTAATGCATTGTCAATGGTATCAAGCATCTGAGAAGGTAGGGCGTAGTGTTTTAAGTTTTATTCCTGAAAGCTGAGATATTAAATGATACAATTTGCTCTTTAGGAACTGAGAAGGCATTGTCTTCATTTGGCTGGTTCTTGCCTCATACTTGACCTAGCATATTTTAAGTTAACATTAGTCAACAGTTACTGTGACCCACCTCCTATCTTACCCTATTCCCCTCACAGCTGGACTCACACAGTCAGTGCAATAAAAACATTAAACATACTCTGGATTCCTTTGGATCGGGTTACTAACCACTCGCAGATGAATCTTCCGAGCACCTTGTTTGAAGTGACAGGTGCCCCTCTCAGACTCTTGATTCCATTTTCTTTAAAGATTTTCTATGCCAACATTGTGTGAAACTCACACAGTGTCTATAAGAACTATGTTTATCTGGGATTATTCTCTGCACATTGAATTTGAAGTTGATGTGTCATGCATATTGATGGCCTACATAGACTGAAGGTTGCTTACTTCAGATTTTTATGAAAACAAAATAGACTTGGGTTCTCTTTAACCATGTTTCTTCTTCAATGACGCATTGAGTTTGCAGTCAAACAGGAGCACAGCCAAAAAATATCACAGCCCTAAGAGAAAAGAATCTCTCCATTTCTCATTGTGTTCTGTTGGCTTTATTGGTTTGCAGAAGGACAATAACTAAAGATACAGATAATGTAAAAGTGAGCGAAAATCCAATTGATCAAGCAGCTTTTAATCCTTCAGATCAAACAGAAACTGGAACTGTTGAGGAGAGTCTGTTGTATTTGCAGACTAGATCGGTTTCAGGTCTGTCACATTCCCACAAGAAATAGCCTTTGATGACATGACTCAACATTACAACTCATAACTCCTCAGTGCACTTAAGTCAAACCAATACACTATGCTGAAGGTCAAGGTCCAAAATACAATCACCAACACAACTTGCCACGTGGCATGTGTCATAAATGCACAATTTGTGGTATTCGGTGCTTTTCTATTTCATTCATCTGTTGTCATTGATTTATTCATACACTTGGCATCCCACCACCCTCTAAAACCCTTTGAAAAGACATTAATAAACTAAATAAAAATAAAATTTGAATTGAAAAAATTCACTTTTATGCAAAAAGTTCTCAATTAGTTTACAAGCCATCTAATATTTTTTAACCATTCCCACATTGAAATACATTTTTAGTGTCACCAGTTATAATTTCAGGGTATATAGAAATAAGAAAACTATTCATCCCAAGACAAATTACTGTGCCAAAGCATAACCCTCACCATTTAAGACTGGAACAACAGAGCTAAAAATACCAAATTTAAAATGAAGAATACAAGCATGAATACAATAAAGGATAAACAGATGAGGTATGTAAGAAGAGTAAAGTGGGGATGTGCATGCAGAAAAAGATGCATGAAATAGATACCATATATATGCAAAACAGAATGAAAAAGACTATTAAATAAAAACTATTAAGAGTCCTGGAGTGACAGGAAAGCAGTGAGAATCCAGTGCTGCCCATACTTGATACAGGCTGGTGCAGTGGTCTCCTCCCAACAGGAGTGAGAAGAGATATAGATCATCTTCAAGGACAATAAAAATTACCGTGCAACAAAAACACTTCCTGGCATTGGCAGAACCTAATTTACTGGTGTATCAAAGGACAGTTGACCTAACATGTTGATTAGCTACTGATAGAGTGATAGTGTAATCGACAATGTCAAAAGGGTTTATTGTGCAACCAAGACATACAAAGGTTTGATGCTGCAAGAGCTAAAACTCAACCCATTTAACAGGCCATATTATGACTTATGAAATACTTCCTCACAGCAGAAAACATATCAAATCCTGTGCTTTGATTTAGGAGAGCATTTTTTATTTATTTATTTTTTTTAACCTCCAGTGTTGGTCTGTATCTGGAAAATCAGGCACTCATTAAAATGTCCTGGCAGTCACTTTTCTGGGGCAGTCACACAGTTACATGCATTCTACACAACACATTTAACTTGAAAGTCTTCTTTTCTATACATGTGCAATTCTAAAGCTTCATGAAAAATATTCCCCCTTCCACTACCTTTCTCTGGCGATTGCTGTAAAGATATTTATCAGATGACCAACGGTGGTGCAAGAATCAATAAACACAGGTATTAACAGTCCATAAGAATGCATTTTATTGCAGGAATTGCAAAACAATAAAGATACACTATAGTGGCATATTTTCAAAGGCAATACTCCTTTAATAAACTTTTCAAAATGCAGTTAATCTAATCTGCACAGCTGTATGCATGAAGTCATCTCCCACAGAGTATTTAGGTCAATTCAGGATATGCATATTTTCACCTTAGAAACTGATGAATTCCACATTCTGTTCCCCACTATTCCACACTATAGTTCCTCACTGCTGTCTCATTGCAAAGCAATATACAGAAGTCACAACACTGCAAACATTAAGTGCATCAGAGAAATGGGATTTTACTCCCCACAATTTAGAGCCATACTTAAGGAAATTACAGTACGTACCAAGAGGTCTAATTAAGAAATAAACTGGGAAAAAAAAAAAACAAAACCTTACTGCAGTTCACCTCCCATATTACTAAAGTGCAGAGTAAACAAAATTAATTTTCAGGAGAGGAATACATTTAGTCAAACTAAAACAAATAACAGAAAATGCATTTGGCATTCTTGCCAATAGCACTGAGAGAGACAACCCCTTTCTGTCACATTCACCCAGAATAAAAATCCAGCGATTTCCAAGAGTGTCAAAACTGCAGCCACAATCAGATCTTTGCTTCCCTGGCTCAAGTAAGTGTTACAAACTTTTCAGGAGGGAAATTCAGTTTGGCACTTGAGATGTCACCTCAATCCATGTGTCCAAATTAACTCTGAAAACCTCAAAAAGTGTAGAACAGTTTCTGGTCCCTTACAGAACAGCAGTGTTTTAACAATACAAAACAAAAAAGGTAGGTTTTGCATTTGTCTACAGAGGACTGTTTGTGCTGAAGGCTGGCCTACAGAATATGACCAACACTGCCAACAAACACTGATCATTGTGTCTGTAACCTATGCAGGAAACAAACGTTGGGAAGGTTTTTTTTGTTTGTTTTTTTAAACTTCACATGCGTACATCTCCACTTCTGTTTAATACAATACAGCAGGGAGTTTCCAACTGATTATGGAGGTAGATGGCTTAAAGCCACGTAATTCCAATTCACATTTTTATAGCAAGTGTCACATAATAAGGAAAAAAGGCTCACAAAAAGTACTAACAGTTGGTATAAAAAAAAAAAAAAGGTCAAAGAAACAGGTACAAAGTATTAATTGCTGTATTTGGTCTGGTGATAAATCAAGCCTGATGATCCCAGGTTTGGACAGAAAAATTCTGCTTAAGTGTTGAAGGTTAACATGTTTGGTCTTTCATCCGTACATATTAATGCATTACCTAAAGCAAAAATTACGTATCTTCACGCCATTCAATTTTTTACTGTTACTCAACCGATGCACAATCTTTTTTGTGACGTTTTTGAAGCCGAAGTAATATTCATGAACTGACCCAGAAGCAACCTGACCCCATTTCAGCAGAAAGCATGGAGTATGTGGAGCAGACCACAGGGTCTCTGTAAACACTGAGCTAGGCTGCACAGCGAAGGACGAGCGGGGGGCGGGACTTTCTCTGCTCCTATTCCTTCCTACATGCAGACGCTTCCTTTCAATGAGGGAGGGGGGCATTCCTGAAGGCCCACTCCTGCAGCTCACTTTGACTTGGTTCAAAATGCTCTGCCCTGCCCTTGCGGCCTCTTCCCCTCATCCTGCTTACACCCCCAGCTTCCTCTTCAGCGCAAAGTAGGCGTCAAACCGTGCCACTGCGTACTCCTGAGGGACGAAAGGAGGAGAGCGGCTTACACAACTGCAGCCACAGTATGCTGGGCTTTTAAATGCAGCCGTCTGTTTGGCTTGGCAAGAGCTAGCCGCAATGTTTAAATAGTGATGCAATACACGACATGGACAGCAGGGCCAGGGCTCCAAGTTACCATGTTACCCTGAAGGTAAATGTGCTCATTTGGACAGAGATCAAGCAGAACAAACGTCGAACAAACACCATGTAACTGACTGTCTTTTTAGTGAAGTGCATATAACACTGGGTTATATTTGTCGTTTTCCTGTATCCTTTTTGCTCATAGTTCAGTACATACTGGCTTATCCGAATATAATCTGCATCAGAAACTCACCATGTAGCCAAACTCAATTGTGGATATTCTTGCCTGAATAATGGACCACAGGCCCCAGAAAAAGTGAGATGCCAGGGCAAACCTATAGAATGAAAGAATGACACCACCAGAATAATTAACTTATTGCATGGAAAACAAGGCCGCCTTCACACGCATGAAAAGGACTGGTTTACCATCCACAGTGATTGATACTACAGTGTACCAATTTCTAGAGGTACAATGATTTGCAGGGACATTTTCTACAGGCAATTTCTCAGGGAATAAAGGGGTTCAGCGCTCAGTTTGTACCTGTTGATTTCTTCGAGCATCTGCTCCTTGAGTTCCATCTGGTCTTCCTCACTCAAATTCTCAAGCCCATCATGTGTCTCGGAGAGGTAGCTGCTGATGAAATGCAGCTACAGAAAATGCAGAACAAGCCATTACTTACGGCACAGAGAAAAACCGTGAAGCACCCCTATCGGGGACAGGCAGTGTACCTGCTGTGCCTTGCTAGGGTAGTTCTTCGGGTTGGCTTTGAAGAACGGGAAGTTGTCGTACGTATAGTCGTACATCCACTCGCAGAAGTGGTTTCCAATGTCAAATCCACTGCAAAACGAATGAGGACTTCAGTATTTATTTACTATGCAAACTAATATTTAAGGAGAAACAGAATCTGAGTTTTAAAAGGAATCCATTCATCCATCGTCCATAATTGCTTATCCAGCACGGGGACTGGAGCCTATGCCAAGAAGCTCAGGGCAAATGGAGACTCCCTGGACAGGATGCCAGTCTCACTCGTATGCAATCACACACTCCAGGCAATTCAGATGGTAGCTCTAACTGCATGTTAGTGGGCTGCAGGAGGAAACTGAAGGCGAATATGGGGAAAACAAGCAAACTCCACACCCAGATGTGGGAAAGAAACCCATTAAGCTGGAGGGGTGAGGCTTTAGGGCCACACTGGAACACTGCGCTACACCATAAATGCAATTTCACCGGAAAGGATGTCATTTACTTGGAGTATAACAATCATTACAAACCTTCATAGATTTGAACTCAAAATTACTGCACTACTAACCGTTAAGGAATGCCCCTATAAGTTAGTAGCATTTGTTTACTGCAGGGCTCTTCAACCCGGGACCTCGATTCCAAATCCAGGCCGTGTTTTCAGTTCTCCCAGGTAGTTGTTTAATAATTACTGATTCCGATTGGTCAGAGGCTTCACACCTGACTGACAGGTAAAGGAAAGCTGGAAAACCAGCAGTGCTCGGACCTCGAGTTGAATAACCCTGGTTTAGAGGGATCCAATCTGCCAATCCTGTAAAAGGAAACGGCCCCCTGGCCTCCAAACAAATCCCTAACAAGCCGACAGAGGCTGGAGTGGGTATGCAGTGCTTAGAAATGCTACCGTGGAAACCGTACAAAAAGGTAGAACCCAGTGACTCGACTCAGCTATTCTTGTCTGTCTGGGAGGGTGGCAGGAACTTCTCTGCGATGATGCTGAGGTTGGACTGCATCCCATTGTGTTTCGCTGAACCCAAACTTCAGGTCCCCAGCACAAATGGAGGGCTGAGAGAATGAGTCTTTTGGCTGTTAAAGCTCAGAGCGCTGGCTGCGTGAGCTGCATGTTTAGTTAATCATGAATACAACTCACTCATACTGAAAAATCTTGGGATTACAGAAAAAAAAGATAATAGCCCTTCTGAAACCGTTTCACAAATGAATCAATCTGGATCTAAATCAGATGCATTGTACTTGAATCTACACAAAATGAGCCACAAAACCATTCTGCACACAGTCGCAAACAACTTTAAGTGGAACCGTATGACACTATATCAATTGCAGAAGAGCACTTTGACATGTCAGGTCATGTTGAGAATTTAAAATTGCAACAAATCTTAATGACAGTAAAATAATGGATTGATTTTCCCTTGAAGAAAAGATTACCGTCACCTTGAGTCATAGCAAAGTGTAGTGAAGAGTTTTCATACTACTGACAGTTGCTCTGCCAAAGAGACACCTATACAATGGGTGGTACTTATAAAAAGAAAAAAATAAAACTGCACACCAAAGCTATTTAGCATATGCAAAGCCAGGCACAAATATGACATCAAAAGCATCCAGTGAGTGACCAGTATCAAGTGCAAGTTAGCAAAGGAGTCAACACCACCACAGGAACCTAGCAAGTGTCATTCAAATTATGTACATTGTCCACTGGAACACTAGAATAACAGCATGACTCCAGAATATAAACTTTTTGTAACTACTGACCGGTAGTTATAGCTGCTGTATTCAAAGTCGATCAACATGAGCTTCTGTCCATCGGAGTTCTCTCGACCATTCAGAAGCAGGACATTGCCTGCAGAACCCAAGGAGATATGAAGTGTTACCCTGACAACGCAGCTCCTGATCCAACCGAGGAGCTCCACTTAGTTGCAAATTCAAAGACCTTACAACCACATACTCAGAGGGAGAGTTTGATCACCGTTTGGATTAACGCATGACAAAGCTTCCGGTTCAAGAGCAAGGAGTCTTACCCTCCTGACAGTCATTGTGACAAAACACAACAGGAGACGGGGTGGACTGCAGCAATGACCTGCAGGAAGAAACACACAATGCAGTACACCATGACTAGATACCATCACTATTCATTCAACTATGTCTTCATGTCGACAAAGGGAAGATAACAGCCAAATACATGTCCCTTACTTAATGAATGCATTCACTTTTCATGACTAAGCTATGCACAGAAACAAGCCTAATCCCTGTGGGAACTTGCTGTGAAACTCAGCAAAGCCCAGCAAGATCCAAACGATCTAACCAGGAATGCGTTCCTAAGGCAGTTGTCCAAATAATGACAAGGAAGGTTACTGCACCCACTACTTCAAGGCAAATGCTGCCATCTCTATCCATGATGGGAAAGACAGATCAAATTAATAGATTTCTTTACTAAGATTATCAAGAAGCCGCCTTGTATGACTGTGGCATAACGCATATGCGGCATTATGTAACGTCTTATCGAGTCTGCCTCTAGTAGAAGCTACACTGGGGACCGTCATACTTGAGCATCTCCAATTCCTGTGGCAGGTTGAAGCTCATGAGGCGGGTGAAAGTCCTTATGTGACCCTCTCTGGTGAAGGTGATTCTCAGCACCTGATTCAGGTACCTGTGGTTAGCGAGAACAAAAACACAAAAGACTAAATGAGAATATGCATCGGAACAATGTTTGGTTCCTGGATTAACTGCATAGACAAAGTTTTATTAGTAAGGAATGAGACACACCAGAAAACCCAAAGACATACAGCCTAGTCTTACATAGAACTTACACTTAAACCATTTAAACTGGTGTACCTTAAATCTGAAAAAGTTATCCAGATAAGCAAGCAATCTGGCTTCATGATACAGGCCCCTTCTCGATCATGGGCACAACACATACAGTTAATATTTCATTAAAAAGGATGCACTACCCCAACATTCTCTGGGGACCAAAGGTAACTCACTTGTTCATGGTGCCGAAAAGCCACTTGGGCTCCTTGTTGAAAGGCATCCTCATCCCATGGAACCTGGCCATCTTCTGGGCTATTTCAGCTGACAGGCTCGGAACAGACAGCTCACTGGTTTCCAGTTTCCTGCTCTGTGACCACAAAATGGCCATTGTATGGAGTTAATGGTCAGACATATCAGAGACTTCACTTCAGTAATCAATGTAACCAGTCAGGTGACTAAAATTCATTGGGAAATGAAAAACCATGACAAAATCCAAAACAAACAAAAACTAGCCTGTCCTGTTTGTGGCTCCATGCCCATTTGCTACACTCATGTGGGTGGAGACCTACAATCTATAATCTAACCAGCTACGACTCATTGGCAAAATATAGTTTAGCAAGCCTTCAGGTTAATCTGACAAGGCAACTTTAATAGTTAGTGTTACTCAAAATGACTATGTGCTACCATATAATCACACCGTTCATGTACTATGCCGTAAAATGACAAAACATAGTTCAATCTCATCTGCATAAAATACCATTTACAGTACACGATTCAGTTCCTAATACTAGTTTAAAATACTGAGTGACTAAACTTTCGCCAGAGGAGAAAAATCATGGGGAGGTACACAAACAAGTTTGATTGTTGATGGTGCTGGGACCTGTATCACAAAGCAGGATTTCTTGCTTAGCAGGAATACTAGTCTGATTTAAGGCAGTCTGGGCTAAGTAAGTGGACGCGGAGGTACACAAACACAATCCTTTATATATCCCAACTAGGGGAGGGAGGAGTCAATACCCTCCATATATCATTTTTAGGGTTATTGCTGCATCCCCATGCAAGTCTCTGTAAGCCAGACGATCACAGCCCGCATCCACAGTTTCAGATCCTAAAGACATGAAGACACTAGGATTCTTCAGCTTGAACCAGATCTTGACCTAAAAATACTCCACTACACTCTTTCAATTACATGACCCTTGCTGAGGCATATTCTTAGCCATAATAAATGAAAGGTGGGAGAGACTTCATGAGAATTCCCACAGCCTGCTCACTCGCCCACAAGTTCACTTTTCAGGTCTAAACCGGGACCTCGTTATGACTGTCACCTGGCAAGTACAATGACTCCAACTCAGCTATGCTATCTGCCAAAATAGGTAATGCAGCTGTGACTGGCATCATATGCATGTCACAAATAAGACTAAAAAGATAAGTGGTGGGCACTTGACTTTGAAACATACAAAAGATGCATGAATCTTATGCAGCAGATTCCATAAAAACTGCTTTTAAGCCACATTTAAACCATCGATTCCACAAAAATTAAACAAAGTGCATTTATAGAGGATGCTCCTGCAATCTTTCTCAGAAAAACCCCTTGGAGTAGTGCTTCCCAGTCAAGTCCTCATGGACCCTTAGTCAGTCTATGTTTTTACTTCCTCCAAGATCGCTGCCAGACAGGAGGGAGCAAAAAACGTGGTAAGTCTGTGGGTCCCCAAGGACTGGATTGGGAAACACTGCCTTAGAGGACTAATTACAGGTTTGCAATTTGTTACATCAGTCATCTGCCCTCTAACACTTACCCTGGTCAGGGGGAGCCTGAGGCCTAGTCCAGGCAGGCTTATCCCAGAGAGGAAGCCAATCCATCACAGGGCACATATATGCACACAGTTATACTCTAGGAAACACCAATTAGCTTAACTGCAGGTTTGAACTGAGGAAGGAAGCTGGAGTGCAGAGAAAACCAACATGTCACAGGGAGAACATGTGGACTCTACACACACAGCGAAATCCAGATTGAAACCCCAAACCCTGTGGAAGTGAAACTGAGCCGGACACACAACTGATGTCTGAGCTATTTTCATTATACACACTTCATTGATGTTAGTTTCCCTTTTAGGCAAACTCACCATGGTAAAAGAACACCATAACTCAGTAACGTGCACGATTACATTTTCTGATGCCCACCGCTTCATGATATCACGCAGACAGCCCAGCGGCCGCCTGATGGAAGACGGGATCGAAGGGAAACTCACAGGGATGAATTGCTCGAGTCTCCCTTGGGGGAAGATTCCATAGAGCTTAGGTCCCAGCTCCCTCTCTGCCAGGATGGCAAACATGACGCTCTCCAGGACCATGGCTTCGGCACCCTGCCAAAACCGCACACAGGATTAAAACATGCAGCCTCCTGTGAACAAAAGCCATCACCTCCGGCGTAGCAAACAGGAGGTGCCTCCCCCCCACTGCACAAACACACAGGAAAACTTTGACGGTCCCAGTTTGTGTGGTTGTTGGGAAAGTGTAACGTTTGAGAAAGACTGGGGATGATGCGAGCCAGTGGTTAAATGGATGAGAGCCACTAGATTAAATGGAAACTGTAGCCTTATAAATGGGGGGAAAAAATAAATATTTCCTGCTTTAGGAAACATTCAACTGAAGAGTCATTATTTATTCAACACCCTCAACTAAAAAGTGTCCAAGCAACCTGGGCAAACAGCCAATACTGGCAAGGTACAGGGAAGGGTCACTGCTCAAACACTGGCCTGGGTTTAATGAATTTCACATCACTACTGTACAATCAGTCCTGCACATGTATTGGCAAAAAACCCTTGAGTACAAAGTCATGCTCATTCAAAAAGTAGCTTATGATAGCAGTTACCACTGAACCAAAAATTACAGAAACACACAAAAGATACGCAAGTGTTGTGTTGTCTCCTGACACAACAAAAGGTTTTACATGAACCATCAGATGTGCATCCTCAGTCTTTGGCAATAGGACATCATGATTTAGCATTTTTCAGAGGTCTGTAGTATGACAGATTAAACATAAAATACAGAGAAACAAAGGAAATTGTTTTCAGCTGGGAAGATCTGCCAAGAGCCCAATCAGTATTTACAGGAGCTTCTTAACTAAAGGGAACACTCAGGGATTTTCTGAAAGCAGTTAAATATGACAGTAACAAATCACTGAACAAAGGCTGCTAGAGACCGAAAGCCCCCTACCGTTCTTCAAAACATGACCTGGAAAAGGAAAATTGACCTGAACACACACCAGCAGAGATTTTGGCATTAATTTGCAAATATGAATTATGTATTTTCCATACACCAGCCCAGTGTTCCCTGTTCTCTGAGGTGGAGGATCCATCTATGGCTGCCATTCAAGATCAAGGAACCTACCCTGCAGATTAGGCAGGCTTAAAGACTGGGCAAGATCACGGTGCCCACACCATTATGCAAGGCCAACCCTTTAGGGCAGAAGGCAGATCCCGTCACCCATCATCCAGCTACAAATTCTGGTCAGGATCTGAAGTCCCTCTCAGGCGACAGGGGGCACATGGCTGGGGCAGCTCTTTCCTCACACACGGAGCAAACTCCACAAAGACATTACTCTAGGCCCAAGTCTACCTGTAAGCAATGTATCTCTATGAGTTTGAACTGGACACTATAAATAATTGGTTATTTTCATTTATAATTTTGCTGTCAAGAAAATTATTTCCATAATGCATTCGCATAATACTGGTCAAAAAAACGGCTGAACTCACTACATATTACGATACGAATCACTGCATGCACGCACACACGAGTTTTGCAACTTGCCTGTACATATCCAAAAACACTGCATTAATGACAGTTTTAACACAAATACTCTAATTGGGCTGCTCCCGTAAACTGATCTTTCTGACCTTCTTGTTAATCGTTTTTTTAAAGAGTGAATATACATTCTGTGCCAAAAAGACAGATGTTCCAGTGCTCTGAATGGTACTTCAATGGTACTGTTGGTTTGGGCAAGGAGAAACGAATAGGGTGAGCTTCAGACTCATATGAAGTCAGTCATTTAAGCAAATTTACATTTAAGGGGGGAATACATACAAGAGACCATGAAATACTTCCTGAAAGTGCAGGTCACTGTCAAACACTAGTACAGAGAATCTTAAAATGGGGAAAATTCATTGGGTGGGGTCACACGACCATCCCGTCAGCAGCATTACTCACACAGTAATGCTGCTCAGAGTGACGACAGAAAGTGACATTACTCTCTTACCATCCTGTGCATAATACTACACTGAATTTTGTCCAACATCTTGTGCAGGTACAAGATAATTATAGTGCTGTAAAGGGTGTGTCCCAGGCTAGATGAAGTGACAGAACGACATAACCTGAAAGTTCGAAATTGACAGCCATCCCCAATACACAATGTGCCCGCGGCAGACGTATGGTTACAGGGTCACAGCCCACAGAGCCTGTTCAAGGCCGCACCACTGTTAAGGAATTGGGGTGTGAGATCAGACGGTCTGTCACAATTAAGGCGTGGTTTGTGACGTCCTGGAATGCAGGCACATGTATACCTCCCTAAATCCTCCCCCAGCATTTAAAAAAGAAAAAGAAAAAAAAACGACCTAACAAGGTGCATCTATGTGCACGAGGCCGGAAATTGTGCTGATGGCGTGGCACCACAGCATCTGCGATGTTAAACGTGACTGTGCAGATGGAGGATTCGGAAAAGGCAGGGACGAGCTGGCAGAGGTCTGAAGGGCCAAGCAGCTGACGCACAGCAGCTGATGCAGACGTCACAAGGATGATTAGCTCATAATGAGTTGCTTCACTTCAAACAGCTCATGCACAAACAATGCTGGCCGAGTTTAACCAAAGTACTTAGGTCATTATTTGCATACTTCATCCCTGTCCTGATACATATACTTTACTTCCTCATCAGGTATTAAACTGGTAGGACTGGTTCTTTGCTATGAATCCAAACAAACAAACCTCACTAACACCACTCCTGGTGAAATCACCCCAGTATTTTGGGAACAAAAGGTAGTAGGGACTTCTCTTTTGGGATACAAAGTGCAAAACTACAAGCACTTACCAAAACACATTATATCCCATTTTAACCAAGGTGGATTACTTTTCAAATTTTTAATCAGTCATTGCTAAAGCAATTCTACTGAACCAAATGGAAGACAAGCTCATAGCCAAGCAGAAAAAATATATATATTAAAAAAATGTAACTAGCTTTCATATTTCTCAAACAATTTGATACAAGGCAGTAGCATACAAGGAGAGAATTCTAGAATGACTCAACGTGTCAGGAGACAGCAGTGTAACTTCCAGTTAGTTCTCAGGGGGAGGAGTGCCGCCACAGGGGTTTCTGTGAAATTCCACCAGCTGGTAAGGCAGTACCACCACCCCTGGTTGTCCAGGAGAGCGTGTGGAATGTCTGCTGCAAGGCTTGGCAATATCCCTTCAGGAGCTTTCAGCTGACAGTGTCAAGATCAGACCTGGTTTGGCAAAAGCCCTACAGCATGAGCAACGGACTCAAATGGATTGACACAAAGTAACACCCATGCAATGCTGACAAGGGGAAAATGAAGTACTTGTATTCAAGTGTGGGACTGTGCACCTTCCCCCCCCCCCCCATTAGCTACTTACTTGAAAGAAATTCTCTTTGTTTGACTTTCTTGTCTCCCCTTTATTACAGGACATCTATCAATGAGAAAGAGCAAGACACTAACCGTGAGTACATTGGCATGGTGATAGAAAAAAAATACAAAAAAAAAGTAAGACGACAGCCCTAGAGTACACACTAAAAACCAACCAAACAGTGCAAAACAGTCACATGAGATTCAAAAGCAGCAATACATCATGGGATGTATAAAATTACTCAGTACTCCAACTATGTTACCGTTTAAATTTAAATTGAACACAGGGATGAAGAAACTGTTACAGTCTAAAAGTTATAGTAGAACAAGTACAGCGTGCATTTATAATTTGCTAAATATTTCAGAGCTTACAAATGAAAGGAAAATTACTACAGACTACCAAAGTTTACGCTGACTGAATACAAATCCAAGGTTTAAGTTCTTAAACTATTTTCAGTGCATTGAAGTTATATTGCTGGTTTCTTTTAACAAAGGCAGGGCTTCCACTGGAAATAGATGAATAATTTCTATATATAAGCAAATATACTTGTGAAAGCTTTTCCAGGTAAATTCCATCTGACTTGTAGGAGAACATGACAGTAACACTGCTAAAAATGTAAACATGCAGGTATCAATTGACCATAAAGTTGAGCTGTGTAATTTGACATGACTACAAATGTATCTGTATAAACTGTACAAGTGTTTTACCTCACTGGTCCAAGGACTATGAAATTTGGCTAGCAAACCTGTGACCAGGAAGTAATATGAGCTAATGTAAATGGAACTGGCATCATATTATTGCAAAAAAATGGGAAAAGAACAAATGACGACAGACTGCCTTTTTCAATGGGTTGAGACCCTTGTTAATAGTGTTTGCAGCAGTTATCAAGGCTGCCAAAAAAGGTTTCAGGAAAATAAGGTAAAAACAATAACACTAAGTGTTCTGGGTGCTTTCCAAGGCCGGATTTTTGAAAATAGTCCTTTAACCAGTCAAAATATTGTTGGAAAATGTGCAGTATTTTAAAAAGGTAGGCAAATCAACTAAATGGGAATTAGCAGACCTGTCAGAACAGAACTAAATGCATTTAGATGGCTGAGTAAGTCTGGCGGTGGATTAATTGTTCACTGTAATAAGTTAAAGGAGACTCTGCAGCTTCAGAGATCTGATACTGTACCGTGCGCAGTATGGTGGAATCACCTGGAAACAAGAGTGCTCAAGGCACGCTCCTTTCGGAAGGCCTACGGCAAAGAACACACGCAAGTACAGCCATGGTGGAACATTGCCCCCCACAAATAACTGGTGCCCCTCAAACAGGCGTGCACACACACACGCACACACACAGGGTCACGCACGCTCCTGGCATACACGCCCAGGGTCACACTCGGTGGCACGGCAAACGCCACACCGACAGCGCCTCCACAGGACTGCGGGACCTCATGGCTGCCAACCCATTTTCATCAGAAACTGAGTGCTTGAAGAGTCTGGCTGAAGTGAACTGAACAACCCACCAAATAGTAAACGACATATTAAAGTTGTCCTCTACATTTGAACCCCCCCCCCCCAAAAAAAAAAAATGCAAACTTAAATGAAACTTTAAAATAAAATGTCTAATTTTGTTAGCAAAGCAGCAAGGACCTACAAGTCATTTAAACATTAAGTGCCATTTCATGTAAAATACCAAATACTTAAGGCATCATTTACGTAGATCAACATACATTAGATGACTGCAGTAACACTGTGGAGAAATTCTACCGCATTTTAGCCAAAATAGGTCACTGATTAATAATTAAACCTGCACAGAAACATTTCCCACACAGAAATTCCACCATTAAGGCAGGTGGGTGGGTTTTGATGTTGAACACTATAAGTTGTAAAGTTAATACTAAAACATTATTGCTTTAGGAAGACTACATATAAGACACAGGTGACAGTTGAAGAGGCAGGGAGCACACAGAAAACCAATTGATTTACTATCAAATAAGTACAGAATAAATCTTTTTCTCGTCGGAGTCTATGTAACACTGGTGGGGAAGTCTCGTAGCAGAGATGCAGGTAGAGCTTGGCAAGGGGCAAGAAGTAAGGTTAAGGAAAGGGGAATTGCATGCGGATTGAGTCACCTGGAGGATGGCCCCGTACAGCCGCAGCAGCACGCAACGGGGCTCATCGCCGACACTGTCCTGGTCGTCGGGCAACGCGCAGAGAAAAAGCTTGTTGCTAAGGCCTCCCCTGTGACCAAACACACAAAAATGTATAAATTACTGGAAAAAAAATGCTAAATATTATACATAATAGATACACAAAAATATAGATACACAAGCTATAGAGCAACAAAAAACCATTACGAAAGACCTGGTGTAAAAAGACCCATAACAGTAACAAAAGCACAGTAAACGGATTTATTTTATAATGAGTTTATGCGGGCTAAGGATAAGGAGCGAACTTTTTCTACTACATCTGATAAATTCATATTCTTATATAATCAGACTCAGTATTATATTCCAGTCTATAATTATACTATGTAATTAAATACATTACATAAATCCAAAAGCCTAATTAAACCAGCTGGACCAAACACGCCCTGTCACGTAGTTAACGTAGTCGAACCATCACCTTAGCAGCGAGTTCGTTACACCCACATTATATTTAGGATCCAGACAACGAAACAAAGAACTGATTTTACAGACATATATGACACATTATCACACGTGGCAGTAGTAAAATTCCGTTTAAAAATATACATTTTAATGAAACATCCGTCCCCGGTTTGTTACGCAGTTACACCGGAGCGCCAAGCGACGTACAAAACACACGTGCTAATTTGCTACACCTGATTATGCTTATCTGGAAATCGTCTTCGGTTACGGTTTTCCATGCACCGTGGAGAAATTCCCTGCACCACAGATACGCCTTGTGTCTGGTCTGCAGGTCTGGCTCCTCGGGCCGCAGAACATCTTTGTACTCGGTCTCGGTGTCGGGTTGGACGTGCAGCTCATTTTCAGTGACCAGCAAACCCAGGGACAGCGAAGGAGAGGACGACAGCCCGTTTATAAACTTGGTTTTCATTGTTCACTTATGGAAAAACAGAACAGCGGTGCCTCAAAGTATTTGTGGGAATATGCGAGTCTAGTCAGTGTAACGAAGAAAAAAAACTGTTGCTTGGATTGGTATATTCTATCTAAATAGCACTCTTCAAGAGAACGAAAACCGTTGAAGCGCTAATACGGCAAAAAAAAAACTGCGACGTGTCACGTGAATCGTCCTTCTCAGTTGAAAGAAACCTTTATAAGCTAAGCTGTCTCCACCAGCACGGAGTTAGAATAGATATGAAGTGCGGCTGGACTGAGAGGGCTTTTACAAGCGGAGCGATCGGCCAGATTCCAGACATCCGATTACGTCACCGTGGCCACCCCTCCCTGTTATCCCATTGGCTGCAATGGGTTCGGCCCTTATCACATAAATGCTTTTGAATGGTAGGCCTATAAATTCATCACATAAAGTGTTTTATACAATTATGCGATATTTCCGGCTCTTTTAAAATTTTTATTTCATAAGTATTTGTGGCGCTTCGTTATTTATTGGTATAAAGAGGCAAGCACAGCCCCTAAAATGACTAAGAGTAACGTCTCTTACTTCATCGTACCTACGCGCACTCATGTAAATAATCCAGGTACGATAAAATGCATTAAAAATGTCCCAGCTGAAAATTGCCTCCTGACAACTTTATTTACGCGAGTTTTTTTTTTTTAAATGTGGGTGACTTTAGAATAAAAATACGAATACCTATGGTGGTTTCAGTTACAGAACAGTAACCTACCTTCCCTGAACGTCTGACTGGACGTTATACTGTTGCCGCAGATTAAGGGGTGGGCGATACCACAAGGGGTGGACATACCATAAGACACAATTTTCAGACGTTACATTTATGTATATAAAATAAATGATCTTTTAAATTATAGCAACATGTCTGTTGCATTTTTAGTGACAGTTTTCAGGAAACGTTTACCCCCAGTTCCGGCTGTAATGGACTATTCCTACTTGAGGCTTGACACTACCTAACTTTCTTCGCACTGGAGTCTAGTGGATGGATGCCAGTTATTTCACTGCCTAGCGAACCGGCGCAAATTAAGTAGCGTAATAGAAAAATAAAACGGTTCAAAGATACAAGACTATCATTACATCTTCCCTGATTTTGATACTATGAGACTGTTGGTAGATAGAATGTGAACTGTCATGGAGAGATCACAATTAAACGATTGCATGCAATAATTCAAGAATAACCTTAGCCTTAGGGGCGGAGTAAAACAAAAAATGGGAACGGTTAAACCTCTTAAATTTGGCCAATCGATCTACCGGTGTTTTATTTTATTATTTTTTTAGAATTCTATTTATCTAGGCAAGTCATTAAAAACAATTCCTTTTTTATAATGCCGGCCTGGCGTGATAGTGCCCCCCTTCCCCCAGATAGGCGAATGGTACCGACAGCGCGCTCGCTCCCACTCTGGCGTGTTGCACCGCTGGCACCCAGCACTTTGACTACTATATTATTGATGTTCCATCGTTTTTAATTCCCTCTCGTTTCTCTTTCAGCTCCAAAAAACTCAAATGGCCACCCTAGGCAGTCCCCTACCCATGTCTGCCTAGAGCCCCTAGTGAAGTTACACTATATGGACAAAAAATATTCAGATACCAGGCAATTACTCCTACATGAACATTTATGACACTCATTCTAAATCCACAGGCATTAATATGGAGTGTGCCCTCCCCTTTGCAGCTGTAACAGCTGACTCTTATTTGTGAGGTCAGACACTGATGTTGGACGTGAAGGCCTGGCTCGCAATCTCTGTTCTAGTTCATCCCAAAGGTGTTTGATGGGGTTGAGGTCAGGGCTTGGGACGGGCCAGTCAAGTTCTTCCACACTATACTCACCCAACCATGTCTTTATGGAGCTTGCTTTGTGCACTGGGACACTCTCATGGTGGAACAGAAAAGGGCCTTCCCCAAACTGTTCCCACAAAGTTAGAAGCATAGAATTGTCCAAAACGCCATGGTATGCTGAAGCATTGAATTGCCTTCACTGGAACTAAGGGGCCTAGCCCAACCACATACCATTATCCCTCCTCCACCAAACTTTACAGTTAGCACAAAGCTATCAGGCAGGTAACGTTGTCCTGGTGCTCACCAAACCCAGACTCATCTGTCAGACTGCCAGACAGAGAAGCATAATTTGTCACTCCACAGAACACATTTCCACTGCTCCAGGGTCCAGTGGCGGTGTGCTTTACACCACTCCATCCTTGGCATTGCACTTGGTAATGTGAGGCTAGTAGGCAGCTGCTTGGCCATAGAGACCCATGCCATGAAGCTCCCAGTGCACAGTTTTTGTGCTGGAGTTAATGCCAGAGGAAGTTTGGAACTCTGCAGTTGTTGAGTCAACAGAGTGTTGGTGACTTTTATGAACTATGCACCTCAGCACTTGGCAACCCCGTTGTTATTTTATGTGGTCTGCCACCTTGGAAATGTGACAGATCACAACTGGAATATTTTGTAGCATTTCTAGGCTAAATAGGCCCAATGGATAAAATCTGGATGCACTTCGTACATTCTATAATGCACATGCATCTTTCCCCTTTTACCTGTATATTGAACAGTCTTTAGCTTCAATTACACTTGATGTATGACTGTGTTGTTGCCTTATTCCAGTGCAATATTAATCTAAATTTTTATCAGCTGATGCAGTCAAAGGCGCAGCTACAGACTTTGCCCCCCAGACCAATCCAATAATGTTCCAAATTTATTAGGGTGCCTGCCACTCAGGGGCCCTTGGAATCATCCTGTGATTAAATCTGTGAAAGGCTGGTGGTGTTGTAAATTTAAAACAGAAAAAGCAATACATATTAATCATCTCACATATGACATCCCTGGATGCAGTTTCATGAGAAAATGTGTCAAAGCTGTTACAATGCAGTGAATACATGAATTTTTTTACCTTTGCACTGCTGAAATAAAGGAATTACAAAACAAGTAAAGAAAAATGTCAGGCCTAGCCAAGAAATACTGTAGGCATATTACTTGCTATATAAATGAGAAAGAGGTATCTAAAGTATATAAATCAGTAACACAGATACTACAAGCTGCAGAATAATTTTACTTGAATATGTCAGAATGCAAGGGGTGGCACCGTGGCTCATTGGGTGACACAGTTGGACCATTGAGCTTCAATTATTTTGGTTTTGTTTGCCATGTATTTGTCAGATTGAAGGCATGAATATTAATATCCAATATTAAACAGCAAGGTGTTCACGGCGTACATTAAAGACATGCTATTCCTTCAGGATTATGGCTGAATTGTTCAGCAAGATAACGACTCAAAACACCAAAAATTGTGCAAGAACTATGTGGCGAAGAAGGAAAGTGAAGGACAACAGATACCAATGGCGTGGTGGACTTCAACCCCATAGAGCTAGTACAAGACTAGCTGGACAATGATACAACTAAAATCAGCTCATAACCAAAAACACTGAATTGTACCTGTTCATCCTCCAGAAACATGCTGACCTAACAGACTGCTTTACTACTATTTTTTTGTCCATTGTTTCCATTTTCAAATGTGCAGACAAAAAAATATGATGCAACACATTGTGAGTCATGAAAAAAAACCTAGTTTCAAGTGTACTCAGCTTTTCACAGGTCGATGTAAATATGGAATAAAAACTTTTGTCAAAAGCTCCAAGTTTCTGCAACTCACCTAAATCCAAAATATATATAGAAAAAAACAAGCTAATTCTTGCAAAGAAACTTTATCTTTTTTCAAGTATTGAAAACTGTTAAATAAGTACAAGGTATGATTTACATAGTATACAGTCTCACTGATGCACCTTTTTTTGTTAAATGCTGTATGACGTGTTGCACCACCCTTGTAAAGATAATGCTCCGGAGTATCAGCAAACCATTCCCAAGTATTTTCTTAACTAATCGATTAGATCATCGAACAGCTGTCTACTCAAAAAAAGAACACAAAAATGGTGCATCTGGGACAGCATATGGTGTACAATGGAGATGTTTGGGGTAAAGAAAACAGATTTAATCTGTGAAAAGCCTGCTGGTGGTGTGAATTAAAAATGGAAAAAAACAACATATTAATCTCTAACTCACATAACGCCTACATGGAAAAACACAGAACTGGAATTTGGCTCAAGCTGAAGACAATACTTATTCATGGTGCCAGTGGAAATCTGTTTTTTTAACTGCAGGCACTAGGCTGGGCTATATTTAAGCATAGAAGGCCATCAGAAATGGTGGAAATCATTCAGCCACAGCTGAGAAACGTTTGCAGCCAAATCTGTCACAAAACCACTCCTTTCCACCCACACTCAATATCAAAGCCAGCAATAATAAAAAGATGGCCAAGTCCTTCAGGGTTGACATTGAAATGTTTCCTCAGGCCTGACAGGAACAGGCAACACAAAACACTACATGCAAAAATTGGCCAAGATACAGCCAAATGTTTGCTTAGACAGTTTTGCAATGAGCACCTGAGGCACCAGGCTGATGGATACATACAGTGCCAATGATAATTCATAATTACCTGTGACGTTTAAAACAAAAGCTGGGCTTATATCACCATTACTGTGCTCCTTGTGTGAGGGTGTGTGTTCGCTGTGGTATGCTTTTTTAAATTAAATCTGGGATGTTAGCAGAACTGAGGATTGCACCTTGTGAAAACAGTAAAAAATTTCAATAAAAATCTGACATCAGACATGTGGAGAGTTCATACTGTACATTTTTTTTACAATCTTTACATCCATAAACAAACAGAAGTGCCATGTCTAAAATTTACAGATATATATTGACATTTTTGTATAACTATTTTCATTAGCTTTTCCTCAATTTATTCCCTCCATTTTAATCAAAACATGATTAATAGGAAGGTTAACTACTGCTTTGCAAAAGTATTCAGACCCATATGACACCCTATTCTGTCATTTACAAGAACCTGAATTTTAAGGACACGGATTAGTGTCTCATCCCATTTAAGATAACCATAATAATAAAAGTTAAAAATGCTTAAATGCTGAGACTTTTGTCTCTGATATGCTGGAAGCACCAAGTGGCTTTTAGATTTTCTGTTGCAGCACAGTCTTGAGTTTCTTGGGGCCCACTTACAGACTTACACTGAGCTGGTGAAGAATCTTCATTTCTCTGTGCATTAGCCATTCTAGCATAGCTTTGGCCCGGTACCACATGAGAACAGTCATGATTATCAGACAATGTAAGAAAATTACTTGCAGGGTGTGGCGGTAAAATAGAAGCCACTTCAACCAAATTAAAACCAATGTAATAACAATGTGAATAAGATCATTATGTATGAGTGCATAAGTGACTCATCTGAAAAGACCAAATCTTTTCCCCAATTTAATTTCAAAGGCGATTTATGCAAAAGGTGCTTCACTCAAGCACTGAATTTAGCCACACAAATATGCTCTCAATAACACATCATGGGTGTGTCAATCCATGGTCTTAATTTAAAAATTATTTCATTGGCACTATTCTCCGCTTTTAAAATTTTAGCACAGCTCAGCAACTAAAATCTCAGACTGGCCAGTCTTCAGTTTGAGCAGTGAGGTGATGGATTGTATATTAAGTTCATTTCGTAGACGGTGACATCACAGTTATGGTCAGAATACTTTTGCAAGGCACCAGACGTACTGAGTAAGCAAATTAACTCAGAGGTTAAGCATTGAGCCTTAGAGACTGATCCTCTCTTCTCCTAGAGGAGATGTCAATGTCTATGGAGTCCTTCCCTACAATGAGGCGAAGACGTTTAGCTGGTGGAAGGGGAATGAAGTCATCCTCAAATTCGTCATCAAAGCAGTCCCCCTCTGATGAAGATTCCGCATCGGCGCGTTGAGTCCTGTGCACTGCAGGTCGGCGCTCAGGACCATCTCGCACGGCCCGCGTAGAGACTCCGCTGGAGGTGACCTTGTCCAGGTGCTCCTGGGCGCCCTCCCGGAACTCATCCTCACGCTTCAGCTGAATCTTCAACTTGGTGGGGCTGCCGTGCCCTCCGGCACTGAAGCCGTTGTTGAGCTGAGCCACATAAGAGCTGCTCTTGTCCTTCTCGTGGTCCTTGCTGAACTTGATGCTGATCTTGGAGGAGCTGCGTGTGGGACTGCTGGCTCCAGGCTCGCTGGCCTTTCCCCCGCTGTTGTCTCGCCGTCGCCGCAGAGTCAGCTTGGGGATGCCAGAGTTATTCTGCAGGATGAGTTGCGCGTCGTAACGAGTGATGGGCCGCTTCTTCTTGCCCTTTCCCGCTGTCCGGTAACTTCCTTTGGCCTTCTCCCGGCGCAGGAGACCGGTGGTGCCACTACAGTCCTGGCGCTGTTCGTGGAGGCCTAACTGCACCCTGCCACAATCTGCCATGTCGGCAGCCCGGGCAGCATGGCGCAGATCTGGGATACCTTCCCGGAAGGAGGCCTCCCTGTAGGGATCCCTCTCCTCCGACTTGATGGTCCTGTCCAGTTTGGACTGAGACAACTGCCTTCGCTGTGGGCAGGCTCCCTTCTTGGGGCAGCCCACTTCCAGGCCATGACCATTCAGCTGAAGCCCATGCTCCATGTACTCCTCCAAATCCGCCGGCTCGGTCTTGACGACCACGCCGCCATTAACTGGCCCGTGGGCATCAAGCGGATCAGGCTGGAGCTTAATGCCAGAGCACCCCTGAGCAGTTAGCTGGGTCCGTGTGGACTGTCGAGTTCTGTAAGTACAAGACAAGGTCCCCTCGCACAGAGCGACATCTGCGGCGTGACTGTTTTCCTTCGTTGTGTGCCGGGTTAAGCACCCCCTCTGCTCCTCAACCCTCCCTTCTCCCCCTGCGTCTCCCTCGTTCTTCCCCGAGACGGCCTTACAAAGGACTACCTTGGGCTCCTTCAAACCCAAGTTACCAACGCTCACCTTGCTCTGAGCCCTCTGCTCAGACCCTCGGCAGCGACTCCTCAGCCTGGCCTTAGCAAGCGAAGTCTTCGTAGGCCTTGATCTTAGTCTCTTTGGTACCCTTGAACGATTCCTATGACTCTGTTTACACGATGAGGTAGAAGTAGGAGCTCTCGAGAGAGACTGCCTGGTTAGAGACCAAGTCCTGCTAAACTTTTTCACACCGGTGGATGTCCTTTTCCTTGACGCTAAAACAAGATTAGACGAAGAAGAGGGGGAATGTAAAACACAAAATAATAATGGACAAAAACTAATTCAAATTGCATTTCTGCACTGCCTACTGAGTTTTAAAAGAAGTTGTTAAAATCCATACATCTTTCAACAGCTTGTCCTGTACAAGTTTATTGGGTAGTTAGCTAAAATACTACAAAACATTAAACTGAAATTGTGTTTGATATAGTAAACAGCGAGATGCTAACCTGTTCATTCTCATAACAAAAACATAAAGCAGTGATTACACATGTAAACTTTGCATGTTTATCTTCTCTGCCATTGAACCACTGAACAAAAGCCCTTCGATTTGTTGTGCATCTTCCGCTGCCCAGTGTTCTGACATGAGATCACCTACATGTGTGTGCGCCGCGTGTTCCCTGAGTGTCGGCATCCGTGCCCACAGACTGGCCGTTGGAGTTTTTGCTTCCTTCGTCCAGTTTCTTCAGCCTGTTGAGACGCTTGTCCGTCTCTCTCAGCCCATACTTGCTGTTGATGACGGGTGTGGCAGGGAGAGGTCCGGCTTTTGATTTAAAAGCACCTGTTCCTCTTCTGCCAATAAAATAAAACAACAAATAAATAATATGTGGGTACACACACACACGTGTGTATTTTTTATACATACGTACATATATACAGGCAGCCGCCAGGTCAAGAAAGTTCAACTTATGGACAACTCGTACTTACAAAATGAATGCCATAAAGCTTACTGTATTAAAAAATTATTTTAAAATAATGGTTCATAATAACAAATGCATGTGCTTCAGTAAATAAATACTATATACTAAGACAAACATTTGACTGACACAAAATAAGAACCATATGTACCTACTCCAACTGACTTGGGGAACGGATATCGTTCGTGAACAGGGGACTGCCTGTATTTGCTAAGCATTTAACTACTAATCCATCCATTTTCCGTTTTTGTGCTAAAACCTCTGCAAACTCATATCCTCAATTCTAACAGTAAAGATGCTAAACGTCAAGCATTTCCTCCCAATGATTCTCTGTCAGTCAGTAGTCGCTAATCATAAAAGGAAAGGATTCAAGGGACAGCATCTTAAACCTTTCACAGGTGTAGCATTCACAGAATTCGTTGCTCTCCCCGAAGAAGCCGTCGCCGTAGTAACAAGAAATCTCCTCCCCTGGCTCGATGTCCCTCAGGACCTTGACGCATGCCGTGTCCCGACCAGTGGAGACAAACTGGAACATGCGGACATGTCAGCGGCTATCGGATAGTAAGATCATCCCCACCCGACACAGTGCGTGGTGCACGGCTCAACCGTCAGAGACACTTACTTTGCAATTTGGCCGACAATCTGAAAATAAGTGGGGGAAAAAAAATTGTTATTCCACTGCAGTTTTTGCATACCGAAGACTGGGGCAGATATGGGGCTAGGATAGGGTCACACCATGGTTGATGAAGGCGGCGGGCCCCAGCCACAACTGGGCGCAGTTCTTGCGGGTGGAATACATGACGCTAAAATCGTTTTCCCCGTGACGAAGGAGCATGTTCTCCTCGCTCTCCGACAGCTCGGCGATACAGCCAACCAGGTACTCGATCTTATCGTTCCTCTTCCTGTCAGGACAATGGAGAATCATCCTCATTAATACGCTATGATTCTTAGCGAACAGGCCCGCGTGCTCCAACCAGGGATCTTACCACTCTTTAGTCGCGACGATTTTGGCTCCATTTTGCTCCGAAGAGTACCGGTTACAAGGAAGGATTTCAAACCCACTATCCGCTGCAAACATGCGTAAATAAATGAACACCTGCAACCAGAAAAAAAAGATCTTAAAGAATACCCACATTTTTTAATCCTGCACATAAGTGTTATATCACATTTAAATTATGTCAGAGAGAGAGATTTGTGTCACAGTCATGTTTTAAAAACGTATTACATGCTTGTTGAGGCGAGTGCTTTACATGCTCTTTGAAGAGCTTCTCCTGGGCCTTGGTCTTGTGCAGGCAGTAGTGCTGAGCCCATTCCCCAGTAGTCAAGGCCTGGAAAGCCTTCTCCAGGTTGTCATGCTTCTTGAAGCGCTCTATCACCTCCTTCAGCTCCTCCTGCCTTCCCTTAATAGGCCGAAACCTACAGAGCAAACGGAGACGATCGAATTTCACCCTCGCTTACAGCGCCCCTAAACAGATGTAAATTCGAGACATTCTCAGGCACAATCCTAATCATCTATCCATGTTTTTCCAGTTCAGCTGTCTTTAACTGGAGTGTGACTGATGTTTTAAAAAATGGACCTTGCCCTTCCTGCGTGCTGAAGAAAATGCAGATTCTGCGCACCTAGTGTTCATCTTGTGGGTCTGGAAACCCAGATAGGGGTCGAGGATGAGGCAGGTGCTGAGGTCATCATTCTCACATAGCTCCTTGGCACTCATTCCAGAGGAGGGGACATAGCGTCTCTCCGCCTCCAGGGGTGCAGTGCCAAAACCTGAAAAAAAGGGTGGGGGGGTAAACAGTCAACATTCATGCACATCACTGCTAGATTATCAGCTGTCTTCCTTCTTAAGGTAAATAAATTACTGAGATGATCAATAGCTTAGCTTCCTATCAGAAGACCTACAAGTCTAAACAGAACATGACGCCAGTGAAACATTGAACTTATTGAGCGTCAGATCACGGATAATAGTTGAAGTGCCATGCTAGGTCACAGAGGCCGTGAAAGGGGCACGCTGAGCCCAAGTCCTGCCGGCCCAAGCTGATTCCTCCACCAGATAACAAGGATCCGTTCCTACAGTAAGCTTCGACATGGCGAGTTCTGGGGGGAGCTGTAAAATATGAAGGGTCTTGATTACAAGTCTTTTGTTTGTCACTAGTTGCATCGCACCAGAGCAGCATTTTTTAGATGGATTAAAGAACACAACGGAACCAAGTATACACACACACAGAGAACAAAAATACATCCATCTTCTAACCACTTATCCTAGAGGACTGAGATCTGGGGAGACCAGGTGCCCTTCCCAGACATCACAGGGAACTCTCTGGATGACATGCCAATCCATCACTGGGCACATACATACAGGCACACAAACAATTATACACTACGGGCAATTTAGAGACACTAATCGGCCTAATTACACATCTTAGTGCTTAAAGGAAACCAAATCTCCATGGGGGAGAGATCTAAGCCAGATGTCATGAAGGTGTCAGGTAACATCAGTACCCGCCACGCCACAAAAACGCTAAGACTACTAAATTACCTACACACAGCTACACATTTGGAACAACCAAAAACATATGTGAGGATGCCATTTGTAGACTTTTGTTCTGCATTTAACACCAAAATTCCTTACTGGTCAACAATCTGAGCTACTCAGGCCCAGACACTTCCCTCTGCTCCCGGGTATTAGATTTTCTAACAAACAGACCTTAGATTGTCAGTACTGGAATGCACACCTCATCCACTGGAATCCTGAACACAGGTTCCTCACAGGCCTGAATGCTGAGCAGTGCTCTTCAGACTTTTCATCCATGACTATACCGCCATGCGTCCATGAAATACCACTGCAAAATTTGCTGATGACTAAACTCTGATGATGATGAGGCAGAATATAGGCTGATTAGTACTGATTAACAGGCTAAGCCAACAGACTGTCCGAGATCCTGAGTGTTTATAATTTCAGCGCTAACATGCACTTTGACGTCTACAATGTTATTCTGTGGTGTAATTGCTGCACAATGCAACAAAATTGCATTGTACTGTGGGATAATGAAAATAAAGTTCTTTTATCTCATCTTATCTAATGAAGTGGGTTTGGTGGTTTCAAGTCTGGTAGTAACCCTCAACTTTGGACACGTTTCACAAGCATGCCCACAGCTGTGATGACCTCTGTGCAAATGTGTGGTTTGACATAGACGGATTCCCGGGGGATGGTCAGGGACAGCACTTACGCCTGCTACATCTGCGGGTGCCAGGGGGGTGCTTGCCCTGCCGCAGCGGCTGGGGCCGGCTCGGGGGACGCCCACTGCAGAATCGGCTGCCGGTCTGTCTGCCGTTCAGCACCATGGTCTTGGATTCTCCCGGCCACTTCATACAGGCCCACCCCTCGGACCAGTTGCATTTAGCCGCTGCGTTGTAGGTTCTCTGTGGAGTAAACTGGGGGAGGGGTAGGGGAGGGGCAAAGCCCAGGCAGCCCTCTCCTGTGAAGGGGAAGGAGCAGCAGAATCCTGTATTACTGGGGTTAATTAATAGCTACTCATTTATGTAATAAGAAACTGGAACCACACAGTGGAAGATTCCCCGAACAGCCTGTACCCCAAAACTGCCCACATACACTATGAAGACGACGACAACCAAAGCAAGCTGGGCAAATCCTGCACTAAACTGCAAAGAATCAGTCATCTCCACAACCCCCGGCTGGTGTTCCACTGCATTCATGCATGTGACAAATAAAATTCTTGAAATCTGAATCATGAGAAGCACCAATAATAGTAAACAATAAGGCCATCCTAAGACACGAAAATGTATTATTCTAATCCATTTTACATAACTACTGCTTACTGGACAGAGATAATCTGCATCAGATGTAAATCTTGAACATAAGAATCAAGTTGTTAGTATTTATCAGTGATTCAGGCTTTAAACTACTGCCTTAATACCAGAACAAAATAGGTTATTTAAATAGTCAGCAATCATCTTGCAGACAGCACCCCTTAGTGGCAACAAATATTCATTAACAACTCAATTCAGCTGCAGCAGATTACACAGTAATCATGGAATGAGAGCTGCTGAATGGTCATTCACATGCCATGTATATTGTAGGGCAGGGATGTGCAATCTTATCCAGAAAGGGCCACTGTTTATGCAGGTTTTCACTGCGACTCCCTAATTAAATCACTACTTAGAGGACTGATTGGACGAAGAGTCCTCACACCTGGGTTTGAACAGCTAACCTAAAAGTTATCCCAAAGGATAACTCGGAGGATAAGATTGCCCACCCCTGCTGTTGGGTGTAGTATCCACAAGTATGGACATCTACATTTTTAAAACAGTATTTTAAATGTGTTGTATTAGTTCAAGGCAGACTCCATAAATTGGTGAATGAACATACTGCACCACAAAAAAACTAATAATTACTAATAATAATGCTTTATTACTGTTTTACAGATACATTTTAAAGGCACCTTGAGAATACAACATATTTAATATATACCGCCCCCCCCGAAAAAAAAAACAACACTGCGGAAGCATCGCAAATCCAAATGAACATATTTTCATCGACTGACGGGCTGGTTCATTTACTAACGGATCCATTGATCGATTGATTGATTTTACAGGCACAGCCTTTCTCATACTGACGTCAATGCACATGCAGCAAGGCTGCTTGGTCTTGTTTTCATTGAGCAAATGCTGCCACCTGCTGGCCGCTGCAGCCGCTCTATTGTTGAGTACCAACAGTTGATAAACTACACTACAACAAATCCTAAAAGTGCAGAAAACCAGGAACAGTGAGACGATAATGAATAATAATATTATAATAATAATAATTGCCGAAGCCGAAAGCCCCAGATCGACTTCATATGAGTTTGCAATGGTGGTGCTCTTAAAGGGTCTATCGTGCACATTAGGAAAGAGCCATCCTCTTCGGGTGTTCAAATAAATCTGTAAAAGTACTGAAGGTGGCTATACCTGTACATAACAGTTTGGAAAGAAAGCATATTTAAAGTGACTAGTCTAAACGTGCAGTTTCTTATCTAAACTGGGGTAAGTTGGGTAAATAGGCGAATGTGGCCTTGATTGTGCCTAGCGTGTGCATAGCCATCGTATTAAATGAAATATATGTTTAGCTTAAGTGGCAATGAAAATTTTAATGAAGTACACAACCTTTATAAAACACAATTAATCCGCATGACCCTCCGGGCTCTGTCTAGCATAACCACCCTTCCAACATTTTCACCCGGAAAAAAGTACCAAATAAAGGAATGATGTCCACTGTCGCCTATACGATGTTTTAAAAAAATACTCACTTCAGCCTTTACCCTCGGTTACAAACGCTGGGTCCTATGTATCCAGGACTGGCACAAAACCTCCTCGATTATACATCGAAAGAAACAAAAAAAATCCAGAAAATTAACATTAAAATTCAAGATGGCGGCCAGCACGGCAGAGCGGAGAGCGGACGCAGCACCGCCGGCGACAAGAAATAGAGCCGCTAAAGAGCCATGCCGACGGTTACACTCGGCGGCCGGGCCCCGCTCCGGCGCCTTCAGCCCGGCCAACGCCTTCAGAAAATTTACGGCTGCTCCCCGAGGCTGGTTGCACATCCAGAGGACGATCTTGTAATTGTTTTTAATCGTAGTCGGATGTATACAAAAAGTAGTGCTGCACAAAAAAAAAAAAACAACCCAGCCAATTTTCCCTTTAAACTGCTTCCCCGGTTAGACTGAGAGAGTCAACACTCCGCAGGCGCAGGAGTGGGGGCCAAGATATGAATAAAACATTGTTAGACTGCCCTTATTCGCAAATAAATACATTAGAATAAGACAAATGTTCAGGTTTTCCCGTCATGACCTACGGAAGTATCTATGTTGTAAGAATAACCAAGGCGTGTTGCTGTGTGCATGCTTCATGTACACACCTTAACAAAAGAGCACCACCCGCACCCTGCAACAGCCCCCCACTGATCGAAATCATTATTGATCGCCACTCTTTTAACATTGCTCCCCCCAGGATTGTCCCTATTTATGATAATACTGTTTAGCAATCTATTTTCATATAAATGGATAATGCAACGGCTAGGTAATACACTTCATCGATGTGTTCGTCGTTTTGTATCGAGGGATCAAAGATCATTTTCAATGTAATTTCTATTGATTCATGTCGCTTCAAGTGTCGTAATGTCAAATGTAGCTAGATGTGTATTCCTAGCATTTCAGTTTGAGAGACTGAGTGGGCTTCAGCATACATGCTTATATTTTTGGTGAGTGCATTTGAGGAGGGTTTCCCTTCACACCAGTGTTATTGTTAAGTAAGTAGTTAATACGAGTATATGAGCATAATTAAAATGTCGGCCTTCAAAACGACCAAAATAACAGTGGGTTCCCTTTTAAGTTTACCGTTTCATTTTCACTGCCATAATCCGTCCAGGACGATGCTATATTATATTAGGACTCAATTTATTTCAGATAATTAAGCGAAAACGGAAGAATGAGCTGCAGAACAAGTACCGTCCTTCTATTTCCATTTAATTTTCCAATTACAATACGGGTATCGGACACAATGGTTAACAGCGCCCCCTGCCGTCAACAAATATGACATTCTTTAGCGACAGTATTTTAATGGACATTTTAGCATGAACTCCCATAATAATCCTCAATAAACACAAACTTCCCTGACGAGTCAGTAATGACCGGAATTTAACAGTCACGGTGAAAAATAATGCATCTATTGCAGATTACATATTGACTTACACATAACAGAACCGTAATGGTGTACGTGTCACCATTTGTTCTGTTTTAATATTGTATTTTGTTTCCGACATGCCAGTTAAGGCGACTTCTAATTTCGTAAAAGCGCTGGAAAAGGATACTCCCAAGTTTGCATCATTTAAGGCGTAGCCTTGATGTTAGTGCAAAAGTAAATGTCGTTAGTGTTTTGATCCATTTTTTTTGAACGAATGCAATTTCACAATAGAGTTCCTGCAAATAATACTAATGATTTTAAAAGAATTACACGAAGAAATAGCAATTCCCGTTGGCATTGCTTCTTCCTCTGATTGGCATCTCCAGCGTTGCCTTCATCAGTTCCGTTCCCAGTAAACTTCGCCCTTCGGTTCCTGTTAAAAAAAAGACAAACCCACAGTGGAGGCATGCGCCGACGTTTACAACACGTTATTTCACTTAAGGTAGGAAATAACTTTAATCCTGATCCGCGGAAGCAGAATCGGAGATAAAGATATCCTCCGATAAATACACATATATATATATGTGTATTTATATATATATTCGAACTGATTGCATTAGGCAGTGACGGTATATGAACTATGCGCGCAGCTTAGCCCAACTCACGTTTTTCCCCTGACTGCAATCACCTCGGTAAGTAAGCTAGCAAATCCATCTTGAATTTTTCATCCTTAGTTTCCAGTGCTCCGATTATTGTTTTTTAATCTTTTAACTGCCTGGGGACAGGACAGCGTTGTAACACGGCCTTACTGCTGCATAAACAGCGATAGCTGCGCCTGTCCCTACTGGGTCCAGCGTGTCGCCAGTTTAACCAGCTGGCTTGGCTTGGTGGATACTAAACCCAGGCAATCTGCAAAACACACGATTAACTCCAATACTTTAAATTGCGAAAGTCTGAAACGTGGCATCTGCCTCATAGGCCATGTACATGCAGATAGTTATTTTCTTACGCAGAACACGGGTATTTCAGTCAGCCGCATCACCCTGCGTTAGATGGGGATGCATGTTATTTTTTTGTACTGGGATGGGGAATCCGTTAGTGTCTTGGGCCGGTTTCGAGCTAGAAATAGTAATACTAGTACTGCCTCAAGTGTCGCCTTTTTACGGGAAATGAACTTTTTGCGTTTGTGAAGTCAGAATAAGCAGCGTCGGTATTGCAAATTTAGTCCTGATGTTGCGGAGCTGCAGCACCGTTTTGGGGCGGAGGGACAGCAGCTTCGCCTCAGGCACTGGACAAGCCTGGACCAGTAGGATCATTGTCGATGTTCGGGTTCGGCGAAGTGGTCGATGCCCACGGACCCAGTCTTAGGTCCTAAATGCCTGGTGGGTATATGATCTTGTCATGCTTTCATCGGCTGAAATGCACGGAAGGCCGGCGACTTCACGGTTTACAGAGCCCATATGAGCTCATGCGTGCGGTGGTGGGGGCGAATGAGGACGGAGAAATGGTACGACCCCGCAACAAAGTCCACTTCCTACAGTATATGTTGCAGTTGTTTGCAACAATAGTGACCCTCCATTGGTATACAGATGATGAGACCAAAAGAAAATCTCGTCTTGATTTGGAACTTTTTGCACTACTTGCTGTGTACTATATTTTTTTAATCAGCTGATATAATATTGCACATCACGCAGAATATAATAAAACTCCCCAGTACAGTATCCATACTTTTTAAAAGGGATTTACTTAAGTACAAATGCGCATCTTTATTTTTATCAAGAGAAACAAACTGGGCTTCACATCAAATCCTGTACTTTACCATATTCTTATAGTGGATCTTTAGATTTAATACAGTGGAGTATATATCATAATCAAAGGTGGTATATTTTAGCTCCAAATGGGCTGCAATTCAGTTCAGGTCCAGTTTCTCATTTAAAAAAAGAAAAAGTCAGTAACCAGGCCTCACCAGTCAATAACCAGGTCTGATATATAGCCAAAAATATATATTTTTTCTAAGAATCAGACTTTTGTCTAAAATGCAAATAGTAATCATAACAATTTATTCTTCTTGTAGCTTCTGAATTAACACAATGACAAAGGTACTGAGTATTCGCTGTCTTTGCTCCGTACTCTCAATGTTTACCTTTAAGGCAGGGCCTGTTAATATTTGCTTGTGATATTTGTTCATAAGCTATACCTGTATTTGTGATTCATTTTGGTAAACACTGCGTGGCAAACATTTGCCTAAATTAAAACAACTCTCAGTGAGATATTACAGTATGTAAAAGTTTCATATTTAACTATTAAACAGTCCTGTAAATAAGAACAATCAAGAATATGGGTCATATCTGTTCAGTATCTCCCCTTCAGTTCCAAATGAATATCAGGTACAACCAGCACTGTATGTGTGTGCATTTTCTAACTGACTAAAATATAAATTTGTGTACTTAAACTTACTTATAAGTCTGGAGAAACAAAGAATTAGTGTATGAGCATGTGGCCAGTAAAGGCTTCTTTGAACATTTAATTAACTTTTTTATAAATCACTTGAGCAGCAATGAAAATTGAAACACGAATGTGCTTTTGTTTGCATTCTGTTATATGGCTGTATACTGTATCTCATCTTCATAACGCCTTCTTATTTTCCAACTGTCCAGCCCCTACTCAAGGCTGGACGTGGCTGCCCTCCTTCTGTGAATTTAATCCCCCCCCCCCCCCCCATTAATGCATGATTGCAGCATGAATCTCTGTTGAAATCAAAGAAGAATAAGAAGTACAATGGGTTGTTGTCTGTGCTGTACCACCATAACGAGTGTCTTGTTAGGTGCTGCCTTGTACACTGACAAGTGTGGCATTGTTGCCCCCCTTCAGCCAGTAAAATGGGCCGTCGTCACCACTCTGTTCAAATCAGATCAAATTCAAATTTTATTTGTCACATGCATCATCATACATAGTACAACCTGCACTGAAATGCTTTCTGTTACCATTACGATAAGCCCAAAGCTGAAACGGTGTCTGACGTTACAGGGACCTGAATCATGAAGCAGGATTTCTTTGCTGGATGACTTGTTGAACTTAAGGTAGTCTGGGCTAGATATAAGTCAATGAAGATAGTCGATTTAAACTGGGGTACCTTAAATCCGACAAGTTATCTGGCTAAAAAAGAAATCCAGTTTCACCATACAGGTCCTAGGAGTAAGTAATGAACCAAAATAACACTGATTTAAACAAGGAGCAAACAGCATAGTGAGTAAATAAACAGTAAATAAATGTAACATATATCTGACCCCTCCTAGAAAAAAATCTGGAAGTCAACAGGCCAACTTTGCATGTTCCTAACATGGTGATGAGTCTGATTAGGTCCACCTGTGTTTTATTAATTGAGGTGTCAGCTGATAAATCAACATGGTGATGCTGGAGCTCTCCCCAAAAGCCAGTCATTCCATTGCTGCTTCATATCCTGTCATTTCTTTGGTTCTTCCTCCTCTTTGGAACAGCACTCTTGTCTGCGGTGTCAAAGCCAAGTCAACCAGTGCAGTAAGAGATTGGTTTATTTTCAAATAATTGATTATTGGCGTGCTGACACTCTGCACTGGGTGGTGCGTAATGGGAGATAGGTAAATTGGATGGATGGCAGGAGCTGTTGATTGGGTTGGTGGATAAAACATCGATCCTGTTTCTTTAATAGTAATTCATGAGGTTTGCAGTAACCTGACACTGATGATCTAAGGCTGGGTTCACTGTAATACCACCAAAGTCAAACCTTTTAAGTTGTTTCTATGGACTTAAGTATCTGTGGAGTGTCTTGTGAACTTAAATTTTCATCATTGATTTGATTTTGATTTTATGTAACTTGTTTACTTATTACCAGCTTGGATTGTGTTTTGAAAAAAGTACCAGAAGTGTTGTCCTTGGTGGGGAAGGGCTCAAGAATAGCAAGGTGTTTTTGATCTTTCAGCACAGTGCTGGAAAAAAATGATTACTTTGATAATTGATTAATCATGTCATCAAGCTGTCAACTAATTGATAAGATGGGCCAAAACACAGGGTTTAAAGAGAAGTACAAACAGTTGTTTAAAAATCTGTGTTGGGGGGGGGGGGGGGGATTGTGGTCTCGGCTTATGTTGTCACCAAGATTTCAAAATACCATGCTATGCGATATTGTAATACCGTTCGAGCTTAGTGATAGCTTTAATGCTGTTCATGAGTTTGCCCATTTCCCTACACTGTTTGTATTTGTGTTTGTTGCAATACATCTGCCCTCTGCTGGATGATCACTGCTGTTTGCATGTGCAGACCGTGGCCGTCTGCATCCACAGACCAATGTGATATGAACATGAATCTTTGCGCCGTAAGGATATGCAGAAAAGTGCAGTATGAACTAGGCTTAGCCTTGTTAGGTGATGTCACTATATGTGATTTACACACAAATGCAACCAATCAATGACAAAATTCGGTGTTTACTATTTTTATTACCGATGATTATTGACATTATCGTGTTGCAGCCCTATTTCAATGTAACCTGATTAATCTCCAACTGGCAATACATCTCAAATGAACAAGGATAAACATACTAGCCTGCCTCTGCATGCTGGGGGAGTCCAGCTTGCCTCGACCAAAGGCTGTGGGAGCCGGTCTGCTGGGGCGACACCGGGTATGACTGAGCATCTTCCCCGATCTCGCTAATCTCATCGCCAGTGAGCTTATCCAAAACCGGCTGTTGTAGCAATCAGAGCTGTAATTAAAAAGTAGCGTTTTAAAGTGCAGTCTGTACCTAAATGGTCTCTTGCTCTAAGCCGTTAAAAAAAAAGCTTATTTTCCAGATGGCTGTCTTGTTTTTCTTTATTTACGTGGCACGTAAGCTATCTATTTATTTAAATGCTAAAGAGTCGTCATGGTTGGCCTGTAGCCTGGCTTTCGTGTCATTTAGGAAATTGCCATGGGCCAGTCTGTCTGGCCTTCCTTCCTCTGCGACGAGAGGTCACCACCAGGACAGCGTAGAATTTATTAACTGATTGTTTGGGCGATTGCCCCACCAGGATGTGGAAATACAAATGTTCCAACTTTGATTAAAGACAGAGTGGCCCCTCTCTGTTACAGTGGTATTAGGAAGCACTACATCTTTGGGGATCTCATTTGTTTTTTTTTGTTTCTTAATCCAGGAGAAAAATCTGAGAGGTTCATTCTGGAGTAGAACCTCTTTTGGGCACTCCAGGGATCCTCTGTAGTCTGGTGGTCAGGATGCTCTTCTCACCACACCCAACGTCATTGAGGCTGCCCTTTGAAGTGTCTGTGTTGTTGGATGGTATCTTGAGATGTTGTTATTTTGTGCTGTGTAAACAAGGCGAACTCATGCTTCATTTTGTTGTCACAATTCATTGAATCCCTGTGTGTGTGTCCCCATTTTATGTGTGTGTGGGTTGAAATCCCATGCCAGTAATAACTCTGACGCTCCCCAGACCACATCTGTGCTAACATGGCATGGTGGTGGAAAAAACTGATTACATGGAAAAGTCTGACTGATTTTAAAGTAAACGGATCCATTGCATTTTGGAGAAATTGTGCTAGATGGTGCTGTCTGTTCATTCATTCAAAAAAAAGAAAAAAAAAAACTCAGGCTGTAGTTTGCATATCCCAGAGCTGAAGCACATGGTGGTGTGTTTTATTAATTAATTAATTTTTTTGCTGTGACCTGTATCAGTTGCTGTCCCCCACCCCCCCCTTTCTGTTGATTTGGGAACGCATGATTATGGGTAAATTCACCCAACGTTACGACACGTGGAGATGCCCATGACTGACAAACATGTTTGAAAGGATAACCAGGCATTTACTTACCTCTTTGTTCCCCCCCCTCCCCCCCCAGGTGTGTGGCTGAGATGGTGGTGCCCCCCCTGCCCTCACCGTGACTCCCAGCCATTCAGTCTTCCAGTGTGGGTTGTCCATTCCTGATCCTGGTCAGTGATGGCACTAGGGCCCTTTCTTGCTTTCTGGCCTATTATCGGGCTGCTAGTGGCACAGTCTTCCTCCGAGACACCCTCAACAATCCTGCCCCAGCCGACGGCCATGAATGTTACTCAGTGTGAACAAATATGTAAGTTTTTTCCTTTAAACCATGTGCTATACAAACCTTAAACAAGCCGCAGGGCAAGGGGACACTAGGATGCCAGTATAAAATAGTAGCCTTTAATGTAAGCGCCGAAAAATAGTGCACGCTTTTTGTCTCATGATGCGTAACGTTTCTCATGGTAAACTGCTGGATAATGTGTTTCCGCTCAAATGGGTAGGTAACTTCTCCGTGTTGTATGGTTGAGTAAATATCTATCTAAGAAAAATCATTACCATCACGTTTTGGCACTGCTTTATGTAAAAAATAAATAAAAATTCCATCCATCCAGAGTTTTCCACATGCGTCATGTCGTAGATAAGAGATTGGGCAATTGTTACTTTTTTCTTTCATTATTATAAAATGTAGAAAAATTACATGACTGAAGAAACATTTCTTCCTTTCAAAGTAAAGTTATACTAACCTGCTAACCAGTAATGTTTGGGCTAAACCGAGTTATACAGGAAGAGTATTGGATCCCTTTGAACGACTGACACTGTTTGACTTGTTCCCTGCCTCCTCTGCTGCACTATAGCTGAAATTAATACAAAAATGAGATTACTCCAAGGATTCAGTGATAGCACATGTCCAGTCACGTCATAATCCTTTTGCTAGTTTGGCCTGACTGCTGAACTCAGTGACTCCTGCATATTTAGAATTACACGAAAGATGGAATTGGGGAGAATGACCATAAATTGCGAAATCGCAAATGTCATGCAGTGCTGCTGCGAGCCCATCACCCTTCCAGGTGCTCTGCGCCAGTGGCACGCCAAGGGTACGGAGACAAACTGATTCGGGAGGAGAAGCTTCTGTACTTTTAGACGGAAAGAATTTGACCGTTTTGTTGCCAGCTTACAGGTGTGGGTTTCACACCCGTTGATATACAATGCAAGATACAGCCTGTCAGCCTATTCACTCCCCCCCCCTTTGCTTTTAAGGTGTTTCCCAAAAGTTTGGTTTTATTTCGCTGTGGTAGTAATTTATAGCAGTAAAGCTGGAGAAATGTGCAGGTGGATGAGCTTTGTTCTTTTTAAATGGAAAGGTTCATATGGCTTAGATTTAAAGATGAAAGGAGTGCGGAGGAGATGGCAGACTGTGCTGCACTCTTGCGTCAGCCTTTGTGCTGCTTTGACCAGCTCTGGGCCTTAAGTCTTTCTAATGATTTGCCCTCCTTGGTGAACCCAGAAAATCTGTTCTTACGGGGTCGTCCGTACATACAGCAGGGGTGCCATTTAGGGGATTTGGGCCTCATGATAGCATATCATATTGGACCCCCAACCCGGATTAATTATTTTCCAAATTTTTTTTAGGGCCTCTGTCAGTCAGCCCCCCCCCCCACCTTCCTAACTTTCATGCCCTTATGGCAGCCCTGCCTCGATCTTCCCACAACAAATGAAACCTAAACAGGCCGCCCCCGTCTGCAGAGAGGCTCCGGACATGTGTCAGTGTATGAGCCCCCCCCCCCACCACCACCACCTTAATGGCACCCCCAACATACAGTATGCCTCTATGCATGTATGATGAAGCTTGCTGATGTAGGAAAAACTCTGGATTGAACTCCTTCCATCCCCCCCAAAGACTTTTTGGTTGCGTAGCATATTTGCAACATAAGGTTTTAAAACCAGTAGGAAATAATGGGGAACTGCTAAACACCTTCATACCTGAAAGAAGAGAGCTTTAATCTAACCAGGTAGAGCTGAGTGGCTGGAGATGATTCGATGATCTCAGCAGTGCCTGGTCTTGGAGCTCCAGACGCGTCCCTTTTGGAAGCAGCCAGCTGCTCGGGTGCTTTTCTCATCTGTGAGACTCCATTCAGGCCGTTGAGATGTGCAGGGAATGCAGCCCCCATTGGGGTGGGAGGGACCCAGAGGTTAAACCGGAGATATGCTGCATGGAGCCGTGCGAGTATCAGACCGCAGAAACCCAACCGCATGCTCGCTTTCTATTCCGGAGAGCATCTTGGAGTATATTTTACCCTTTGACCTCATGAGGTGATACTTTTCATGCTGTGGTTTGTGGGGGCTTATTTATGCAGTTTAAAATAATCAGCACCATTGTGTAAGCCTGTGTTTAGCTTCTGAAATGGCCCACAGGTCTGGCATCTGTCCAACAATGTTTCTTTTTGGGATGACCCTTGGGGGGGGGGGGGGGATTCCGAGATGTTCTTTTTCCGTTTGAAAGCAGAACTGGGACTTTATTAAGATTTAGCTTCCAAGTGAGCACTGCGTAAGACTTGCTTTTTGCAGAGAACAGAATTAAAGTGGTTTAGATTTTCTATTGTCCTGTAGTACAAAATGCATTTCTCCTTTTGAATGCGTTGATGCAGTATGCATAAGTGATGTGGGTGTACTGGAAGAGTTTTCTCGTAGCAGAAGCTCAGTTTAACAGACCTAAACAAACCCCACTGAGAAATGTTCAGATGTTTTTTTCCTTGCAATGTCAGCCCCAGTACTTTCGCTGTTTTATTAATTTCTGTGTTGTCCTGCAGGTTCCTCTACTTCCGGCTGTATCAACATCCTGTTTAACAGCACCACTAATGAGTGCCAGTTAAGTTGCGCTGGTGGCAGCTGCCAACGTAAAGCGGAGGAGGAGCTGTTGAGTACAGGTATGTCATGCTGTGAGCTGTGGAATGGGTCTTTATAAAAGATGTTTGAAGGAAGCTCCTTTTTTGCCATGGTTTGGTCACTTCCTAACAGGGAAGAAAGTGTTTTAATGTTTCACTTTGCTTATCTTTTGTAGGCACCCCTGTAAATATCTCCACTGTTGCTGTCAATGAAAGTGTATCGAAATCTGGTGGGGCGGCCTTCAGTTCAACTGCGGCACCCAAAAGTGAACCCCCCCCCGAAAAGGGAGTCCCAGTGAATACATCACATGTAACCGTGCCTCTCCTAAGTACTGAGAAAAAGCCCGGGGCAACAGGTACTGTCACGACGGAGCTCCTGAGGACGGGCACAACCAAACCCCCACTGATCACCACGGTCACCATGAATTCCTCGATGACAACTGCAGCCAATATTACAACCAAGCCCCCTACAGTAACGTCAACCACCGTCACGGCAAAACCCTCAGACACGACCTCCCTGACGACCACCCCAATCCCAGCAAAGTCCTTGAAGACACCCACTACCACGATAAAGGAGCCAACAAAACGATTAGGAGCCACTACGGTGAACAAAGTGCCGTCACCCTCCTCTCCGACGACCCCCAGCACTCAAGCTACCTCTAGGGTTCCTGCACACCCAGCAACTTCACCGCCGAAGAGTAGCCCGGGTAAGGATGTCAGAGAACCAAATAAAGCCATTTTAGACATTACTGCAAGCTCCCTGACCAGACAGGTGGTTGACACCAGCACTCTGCTAGCCATCCTTATCTTCGGCCTGCTTTTTTTTGTGGTCAGTGTGATTCTCTTCCTCACACAAGCCTATGAGAGCTACAAGAAGAAAGACTACACCCAAGTGGACTACTTAATAAATGGGATGTATTCAGATTCAGGAGTTTAATGGTAAAGAGTTTACATTTTTGGTTCCTTTTTCTGTTGAGAACTGATTCGTAATGTTGTGGCAGCCTGACGTTCAGAGCACCGACGTTAACGCTGTGGTTTCCCATGGTTCTGAAGGGACTTGTACAGTCCTACATAGAGTTTGCACACCACATGCAGGTCAGCTGTAGTCAATGGGTCTTTTGAGGTTTCGTTTTTACAGTGAGACCTAGCATGGGCCTAACTGAACCTGCATGCTGGGATCTTTGTGTGTTCATCTTACCTACTTTTCTCTATGCAGATGGTGCTTCTCTATCCAGTCATTAAACCCTGAAGACTAATATTTTCTTCAGTCTATCTCAATCTATACTTAAGCCATCAAATGTTAAGTTTTTGTTAATGTAAAGGGTTTTTTTTTTTTATAAACGTCAAATCCTGGTTATTGGTACAGAAAAATGAATAGCCTTTGTAGACAATTCAAAGTTCTGTACTTGGGTTCTTTGGAATGACTTGATCAATAATGCCTTTACCTTCACTTGTTACTAGCTTTCTCACCACTTATTACTATTTTTATTTTTTATTTTTTTCCTTGTGACATTCCACTTTGTCTTTTGAAGAGTGGACGCCAAAGCGCTCAGTGAAGGACCTAAGCACATTCACATAAAGCCCAGAAAGTTGCCCAGCCATTCCTGGAATCCACAAGCCCATTTTTACCACCAGGAGGGTTTTCTCAACAAATCAGAGATTTGAACAAGGAATGATATAGACTGGTTCATCTATTATGTGCCAACCTGGGTCTGTGCAGTCTTACAAATGCACAGTTAAAAAATGGAACGGGTTTTGCAATAATAAATTGTAAACAGGTCATCTTTTATTTCTTCCTCAGTTTTTAAATTTGACCTGTTTTTGGCTGCCGGCATGCGAAGCGGGTTCTGCTGCCTGTTCATTTCCTCCCATGTTTCTCAGGGTCGTTGCGTTATTGTTTTTGTTGCGATGCATGACGAGGTGGGTGTGGCCTATTCATGGCTGTGAAGCTAAGTGATTCAGTGTATCCTGGGTTGAGTTTGAAAGTCTGGGAATTTAATTGGTAAGGAAGGAAATGAGTAAGGCAAGAGGAAGGTACTTAGACACCTTCACGAGGTTCACTCACTCCAGGGAAGCTCTTGCACAAAAACTGAGGGGGGAAACATGGCTTTCTTTAAAAGGTTATTCCGAATTGCTCCAACTTGTGAAGCTGCCAGCCCTCGATTCCCCTTCTATTCAGCAGGTCCATTGGTTGTTAAAAACAAGGATGCTGTGTTCCACCTCATTTAACTGGTCTAAACTGTAAGCCTGCTGGGATTGAGGAAAAGGTTTTGCATTCTTCACTGCCTCATTTTGTGTTGAGTGGAGTTAAATTTCCTCCGTCGGACGGATCTAGCCATCATTACCGTTCCAGTATTTATGGCAAATAATAAATTCCCATCTGACCAGTCACCTTCTCTTCCTGTTGTTTTTCTTGCTATGTTGCATCAAAATGTCTCGACTGCCTCCTTTCTCATTAAGTAACATGAACCAAGTAAGTAGCTGGCCAGTACTTGGGCACGAACCTGGCGCGTACAGAGGGTACGGAGTAGGTCTGCTAATGGCGATTAGCGTTTTGTTTCTGCACATGCCTGTCCCAGATGGCCTTCGTTAAGGAGCAATGGGCATGAGTTTTCGTAAGTATTCCTGCGAGGTAACATTCGTGAGCAAGGGAATCAAAGCTAGTGCCAGAGGCTGTGCAGGTGATCATAAATGCAGGTTTTATTTGCAGCATTTTCCTCTGCCTCAGATTTGTTCGCCGTGTCTTTCACACGCACAGGGAGTGCGAATTGGTTTGGGGGTGGTGTATATAGTTTTTTTTATTTTTTTTTGTAATAACCTGCCTCCCCCTTGACTTCAGCGTTCAGTGTTGTCAGTGAACCTTAGTGTTCAGCCCGGAAGACCAATTTTCGCTGCAGGCAAATTATCTCTCTCGCTGTAAAATGACGGAGGCTCCAGGTCAGTGAGATAAAAGCTGAACTTGTCACCCAACAGCATTTATTCTGGAAGTCTTGCTCTACTTGATTAAAAACTGAAATGACTATAGGTCCACGTCATCATTCACAGGACCGCAATTTCACACCATGTTTAATGACACGTCTGATTTATGCCACAGAGATATGGAACTGGTGGGTTAACGTGCTCCTTGGTGAAGTATGGTTGTTACACGTATGTCTTGAAATTCACTGTCGAAGATGCATGCAGGTAATGGATCATAGATGACTGCTTGGCTCAAGGTAGACTGATTAAACAAAGCTAATCAGGGCTTGACCTTGAGATACATCCACAGTCTCTGCCATGAGACAATCTCTGCTGACATTGTAGGTCGTTCCTACAAATGCTCCTCATTATAAGAAGAAAGTAAACGACAACAAAAAAAACCCTTGTGTTTGTGTCAGTGTTTCTCAGACGTTTTTTTTCTGGAGACCCCCCCCCCCCAAAAAAAACAAAAAAAACAAAAAACACACTACTCAAGTCTTCTGACCGTTTTTGATACAATAAACTTGCTGAGCAGGGGGGTGTAACCCTTAATACCAAAACCTGCTGACAGATTGCTAACTATGTATGTTTTTTACCATATTCAGAAAATCAGCTTGTGACTCCTTCCATTTATTTGGTGGCCCACAGTTTAAGGACTACTCCTAGAATGGGGTTGATGAGATTCTCCACGTCACCTGATGGTGGCGCTCTTGTCCATTATTCATGCTGGTGTGATTGCTGTCAGGTGGGTCAAAAAAAAAACATGAATAAATTTATTAATAGTGTTGCAGTAACCGCCAGGACTTATAAAAATATGTAAAGTAGTTTTGTGAAGCTTCGGCACTGAAGGAATTAACGCCAGTCTTCACTCTCAAGATTTCACAGCCTTGTTTAAATTTTTGTACTGATGTATAATCCTGGTTAAATTATGTTACCCAGTCCCTCAGAGGCATCACACCGTTCCTTCATTATTACCAGAATGCTGTACTCCGTTAAAATAAATAAATTACTTTATTTGCCATTTGCACAAACATAAGTACACTGGAAGTCTTCTCTTTGCCTACCCCATTTTGCTCTCTGTAGCCTGGGGTCAGAACGCAGGGTCGGCCAACCTGCAGCAGCCCTGGAGCTGGGGGTTAGGGACATTGCTGACGGACTTCTGCCGAGGCTGACGTTTGAACCGGGGATCTTCCGGTCATTCCCAAAAAGAGACTTAACGTGCTGAGCAACTCACCGCTCTTAGGTGCTTACTCACAGATAATATGACGAAGGTCTATTCCGTACATTATAAACTCCTTTATCTGCCCTTCCTGCTATGTTCTAAAATTAATTTAAATTAAGTGGTGGTGTTTTTTTTACCACTGCGGTTCTTCTGTAAATCCCTGCATCCAGTTTCTTAAACAACCTGCTTCGTAATATCCCAAGAAAGTATAACAATTGAGAAAAAAACAGCACCAAAGCTCAAGCCCACAGGAACGAAACGTTTACTAGACTGCTGTCCTGATGCACGGTTATGCATTTATTGTACATCCTGACCAAACACATTTCTGTTAGATATTGACTAATAAAAAAAGAATCATAACACTGTGATTCGTAATTTCCAACTTCAAGACATTTTGAATGATTTGTAGCCTATAGTTTTATGTCTTGGCACAGGTCTTAGTATTACATTACTCTATTAAAAAACAAGCATTACATATAAAACATTGACGTAAGACAATGTGCACATAACTGTAGGTCTAACTCGGGTATAAATTGCACGCAAGTGCACAGACGGGGATTTGAATTTATATTAGATCGATGCATTTAAAAAATAGATAGTATTTGCTTTAAATGTGGATGGCCCGCCGCGGACCGTATGCGGTGACGTCACCCTGTTTCCGCTGTCAGACGCTTTGCTGGTTGTAGCCTGTAGTCTGATCGCAGAAAAGTAGCGGCAGAGCCTTTCACCAAGAAACAAGCTGTCTTGCTCTCTCGGATACAAACTTTGTCTCTCTCCTCTCTTTTTTTTTTAATACAAAAAACTGTAGTAAATTGAAAATGGAGCCAGAGTGAGAGAGCATGAAGCTCCGGACGCTTGCAATGGAGTGTATACTTGCAAGAATATTACTGTACAGTGGTCTGGTCTTTGTAGTTGACGGTAAGTTAAATGCCTTTTTTTTCCTTTTCGGAACTGTGACGGACCTGGAGAAGTGATTGTCGCTCAAAGTTGCGTGGAAGTTTTTTGTTTTAATTCGATGGAAGATTATTTCCACGTCAGTTACTTAAAGTAAAGTAGGCTATGTTATGTACTGAGCAAAAATGTTATTTTTGCAGTTAGTTTTTCTCGTCTGATACTTCTTTTCCCATGTGTTTTGTGCCTTGGGTGTCGGATCTTTTACGTTTACCGATCACTGTAGATCTCAGAAATGTAAACGTTACTCTCTAAATGCTGTCTTTCGGTGTAGAAAGTGTATTTTTACGGTAACCCAAGAGAACATTTTCCCCGCTTTTTATTGGGGCCTCAAGTTTACGATAGATCTCTGGGTTCTTGTCACAAAACGATTAGCAAAACGCTGCTAAATTGGTTACAATGTAAATTAGGTACATAAAGTGACAATGCCACGGCGATCGCGGAAAAATATCATATTGAGAGATTTTTTTAAGCTGCTGAGCATTTGTCAAGATGTTGATTTGATGTAACACTGTAATCCAAAAATGTAGTTGTTTGAAAACAGATCAACAATAATTTAGGGTGGTAAGTGTTGATTTGTTGAGAACAGTTGCTTCAGTAAGTTGTCCACGAACGGCTCCTTATTGCCCTAATAGTCTTTGATCTGTTGTTTCTTCGTTGTTCTGTATGAAGGCGCCTTCAGTTACGGGGGCTTATTCAAAGCTTTTGCAAGCACTCTAAATTAACACTCGGGTTTAGGCTTGTCGGCTTCACATACACACAGACAAGCATGAATACCGTGATTTATGGAGGGGGCTGGGGCGGGGGGATGCATAGCAGCACCTGACTTCACCTTCTTGTACGTCTTGCATGGTGTAAAAGTGACATGCACTGGAGGGGGAAGGGGGAGACCGCGAGGCGAGTGCCTGCTGTTGTGAAGTTAAGGTGAGCTGTAGCCATTAAGTCTGGCTCGTTCTGGAGGTGTCTGTCTGTATTAATAGTGCAGCTAGATGCTGCTGTACAGCGCTGTGTATAGCCGTTGATTCAGCTATGAATATTGCTAGATCCTTCCATCTTCTAACCATTTTTCCTGGCCAGGGTTGTGCTGGGTTTTGGACAGCACAGGGCATGAGGGTGGGAGATACCCGGGACAGAATGCAGAGTTCATTACAGAGCATGTACACATGTACTGTATTGGCAATTTTGAATGGGCTAACTGGTGCAAATGCATCTCACTGGGCTGTGAGAGGATACCAGGGTACCTGGAGGTAACCCGTGTTACACAGGCAGAATGCGTCAACTCTGGACATAGGGAGAGGGATGGGATTCAAACCTCTAACTCTGGAAGACTGAGGCAACAGTGTCACCCACATATTGTCAGGGGATAGTTTAATCCGTAAAAGTGCAACACATCAATGCAGTTTGAAATATGACTTCAAAGTTCCTATAAGGGTGCAGCTTTCAGAGTAAGCGGTGAGCTTTGTGAGAAGGTAGCGAGGTGAGCAAAGGTTGCCGGTGTTTCTGCCTCTTACCAGGAAGTCTCATCAGAGACTTTATGAACCCGAGATCCCGTTTCGTCTCCCGGCTTGCGTGGGTCTTTCCACTCTCTCCCTTAAACATTTAACTGTGCAGTCATCGTTTAATGCCACTAAGCATACTGTAACATGCTGGATGGGCCGAATGGCCTCCTCTCGTTTGTATAGTTCTTATGTTCTATGTAACACGGGTGACTTTCAAAGCGCTACCCAAGGACTGTGTAGCAGTTATGGGAATAAAAAGCAAAATTCAAGACTATCAGAACTACCACTAGTGATATTACAATGACTAATAATCATTTTCATTGTTCTTCTCATTTTTTATTGGTATTAGTTTATTTTTCAGAGGGCTGTTCAAAATTCAGTGCGTTTCCTTTAAACACTTGTCAAGAGAAGTCACTCTTTTCCCTGTTATGTTAATGTGGGAATTAAAGTTCTTGATTAGCTCTGCTTTGGCATGTGAATAGGCGAGCAGTGAAAGGGCCAGGGCTGAATACACAAAGCTCATCACTCTTCTGCATAAAGGCCTGTTTGCTTTTTTATTTCTGAACTCAAAATGGCCCCAGGTCCTTTGTTTACAGGCTAAGGTGCACAACTGAATTTTTCTCAGGCGTTTTTTTTTTTTTTTAAATTTTTTTATTTTAATGACCTTGGTAAATATCTGGACTTTGCGGACAATGCAGCGATATGGTTTTGTGATTTAGAGGCAATGGAAAATGATGTGGCAAATCAGTTAAAATTTTCTGCATGGGTCCAAACAAACTTTCCCTTATTATTTTTTAAATAATAAGGACAGTGCAAATGCACTGTGGTCAGAACAGTGTTTACATGACAATAATATTTGATTTATTCGCTTTAATTTTAATGCCATTGGACATTTGAGATTTTTAATATAATTTAGAAAAATACCTCTGTGGGCTCCTGACTTTTTTCCTGAACTGTCAGCGTCAAACCATGGCAAAGAGTAACACTCATTAATACACTCATTAATGCATTCATTAATACACTCATTAATACACTCATTAATACTAATTCCTTACCTTTCCATTCTCCATTCAATTTTACAATAAAATAGTTTTTCGGTATTGGGGGGGGGGAGGGTGGATGTGTATTTGGAAAAATAATACAAATCTTCCAAAGCTGGTTTTTGAAATGTGAGCTGTCTTTTTTTGTTTCTTTTTCTTTTTTTTTTTGCTGACGGGAAGGGAAGAAGGGGAGGTGGCGGATGCGGTGGTGGGGGGGGGGGGGGGGGGGGTCCAGGCACCCATCTCTGAGGAGTTTCCCACCCTGCACCTATTTTCTCCCAGCACCCACAGACACTATGCATCGCTGAGAACAGGACTGATAAGATGCAAAAGGGGGGGGGGGATGCTGGTGATTTGAAACTGAACCAAAACAAGACGAGGGCTTCCGACGGGTCGCACCTCATGGAAATTGTGCTTGGCTGTTTGGCTTTACCTTTCAAAAGACTTCCTGCATCTATAGAGCCCGTCGTCCCTAAAGACATGCACCAACACACGATACCTATAGCCCACTCTATCTCCCTCTGAGGGGGGAGGTGTTCCTCTGGGTGACAACCTTGGGCCCTCAGCTGTTTCTTTGTGCCCGCCCTCCTTATCCAGGTGCTCCCCGTTTTTCTCTCCCTTTATGGGACTGGAAAAGCCGGTAACAGACAATGGTTCAAATGGGTCACATGAGCTGACCGCAGACGATGCTGGAGAGGTCCTTGCTGGTGGCACGGCTGAAAGCATTCCTTGGTGTTGGGAGCTGTTGGCTGACTGGCCGCCTGTGTAAAAATGCCCTGGGTTTCTGCAGGGTTTGGTGCCCATGTTCTGGTACTGTGTGGAATTTCATGCTGCCTTGCTTTGAGTTATCCTCCACTCGTTCATTCTGGAGGCTTTTCTACTGCATGAACTGTTGAATAAAACAGGAGTAGAGCTCTCGTTCCTATAAAACTGCCATTCGCTTGAATACATACCACATTGTCCCTCTTTGGTACACCAAAAACCAGCACCGTTCCATTACTGAACCACAGGAAGAAACAAAACCCAATTATAGTCAAGTCAAGGCTAATGTGTCGTCATCTTTCACGGGGGGAGGCAAAACATGCTTGAAATAGAAGCAGGATGGCCAGTATGGAGAAATCTGTCTGCCCTCTACTTGCAGAGGAGGAGAAGGATTAGAAGAAAACCTCAAGATCTCTGTGCTTCGGTGGCCACTGTAGCCACATCTGCACCACCTTTGGGCTGCAGTGCAGCCTGTCATTGGGGTTTGTGAGTTTGGAACCAGACACAGAAAAGGGGAGTTTTATGGCGCTAGGAGAACCTGGGCCAGTAAGACATTGGGAAGCTTAATCACACTAGGAGAAATTACTAAAGGATGGAAAAAAGCAACGATAGACTTTAAATCTGGGTTTTGGGGCTAATTGGAACCCACTGTCAGCGCTCGATTTGGGTTCTGCTTGTGTTTTGGGTGGTGTAAATAATGGCAGTTTTGCAAAACGGGCATATACCCCTGGTGATAATTTAGTAATTCAAAAATCCATATCCATGAATTTGTGTGTGTCTGTGTGTGTGTGTGTGTATGTGTCTGTGTGTGTGTGTGTATGTGTCTGTGTGTGTGTGTGTGTGTGTGTGTGTCCGTCCAGGTTCTTGGCCTGTATACTTGTGGGCAATGAGGCTCTTCCTCTTGTGACATGACATGGACGTTGGTTTCAGATGATCCCCAGGACTAGGTGCTTGGTCCAGGCTGCTCCTGTAGGCCGTTTGCCTAGGATGACTGGGCTTGCACTGGCCCATCGTTCTGCCAAGAAGACACTCTGCTTCATTAATCCCATCTGCAGGTTGGACATCCACTAGGGTGCTCGAGCTGAGGGGGGGTTGCAGTCTTCGCAGGAGACGATTGGCACTCGCTTTCTGCCCTTTAAACCTGTACTTTTTACTCATTGCCTTTTGCCAGCCACAGAGTCTCCCTCCAAACCCTCAACTCTAGCTCCTCCAGCTCTGCTTAACTGCAAATGATGAATGATGGCTCAGTGAGTTCCAATACAAGCAAGACACAAGAAAACAAAGCCCACTGATACTGTTTGTTGTTTTTCCTAAGTCAAGAACAGTTACAGAATCGTGGGATGGCTTTTCTTCTGTTCACCCAGCATGAATTTGTAATATGCTCTGACTTTAAAGGGTTTAAATCAATATTGCAGCAGAGTTTTGTCTGTTAATTTAACCTTCGTCTCAAAAGGCTTTTATGTAGCAGTATTTTGCAATGTTTGCAAAGGTTATCTAAGTGTAGAGCAACCATTTCTCAAAACCTCAAACTTGTTTTTGCTTGAAATCGGGCACATGTACTCATAGAAATGATTTTTAAAACTTTTATCGTGATGCATTGATATATGTTTCGTGTTTGCAATCCAGAGCCTCTGTGTTCTCCTTGGCGTGGAGTTTGGGTTCGTCTGCCTCTTCAGGGATCTCCTTTGGGATGTTTCAGAGACCGGCTGCCCCACCTCATGTACATGGCATGATTCAGGTCTGGGCACGGTGAAGATTCAAGGATCCAAGGGTTTTATTTGTCACATGCGAGGTTTACAGTCCAACTGTAACCTGCAGTGAAATGCAAGGTGGTCAGCTCCGCCATATTAAGAATAATGAGAGGCAGTAAGACAAAGTTACAGTATAATAAATATACGATAAACAAGGATCAGTAAAGTTACACGGGTAATAAGTTATTCAGGTAATGAGAGAAAAGGAAAACAAGATACGTACAATATAGCTCCCAAAAGGTGCAGGACGCATGAGCAGGGACCAAATTTTTTATTGCGACTGTCAGTGTTAAGTAATCTGATGGCCTGGGGGTAGAAGCTCCTGAGTTCTCAACATGAGAACTCAGGAGCTCAACTGGTTTGAGTCCAGTTGAGGAAGCACCTGGATTATCCAGTGCCTACTAGGCAGGTGTGGTTCTGGTAATTGGAGAACCGCCATTCAAATCAGACTGGCCCAGCCTTCTGAAATAGCAGGTTCCGTAAGCCCTCTGGTTCTCTGCCCCTTATTCACGTTCAGGTTTGTTTCTGACATTTCAGTTCAGTATTAGCAAGGCTTTGTAGGTGGCATTGTCGCATCACATCTCCTGTCAGTGATATTTCAGTGAGATGTAATTCTGCATTTCCCTGATAGACTGCTAGTCGGTGTTAATCCGATTGATGAAGTGTTTATTGAAAATTGATGGATTAAATTATGTTGTGGAAACATAGACTTGATGGTGAACAGCAGCAGTAGTTAATATTTTGCTTACTTGGCAGCTATTCAAACTAGAGCTGAGCGATATGTCAAAAAAATTATCACGATATGTTTGACCGATATCGATAATTATCAACATTATAGTTTCACAATGCTGTTTAATAATGTAATAATCAAAATAATAATAAAAATAACCCTATTCTGACAAATAGAATGAATACATTGAAATAAACAATATTAGTAAACAAATACTTATTTTCAAACACATTTTACTGTTTACATACAAAATTCCCTTAAAATTATAAAAGGTTATTGATTTTCAAGTATTTAAAGAAACATAGCTCAAATGAACAAAACCATATAATAATGTAATAATGTGCAAAACTGTATAATATTGCAAATATGTTAAAGGGCAAACATAAAATAAAGCAGGACAGAACTGACTGCAACAAATATCTTCCTCTATTCTTGGTCTCTTAAAAACTTAAATTCTGAGGTAGAAAAGTATCTAAACCAAACAAAAAACACTTATTTAAAAAAATGCCAAATCATGGTTAGATTTTTTGTCCGGCGCTGCAAAACGTCACCACGTGTCACCATGTCACATGGTACAAAATCCTCGAGAGCAGGACACACCGTGCAGCACCTCTCAGCCGGCTGCACAAACTGGAACGACACAACTTTGCCCTTATTGGTTGAAGATTTTTAGTCACACGCATGACGTTTGTATCCCAGGAAGTTCCAATGCGTTATCTGCTATTTCTCCCGAAAAGCACGTAAAGCAGTGACAACTGGTTTTCATTTCATTTACCTGGTAAAATAAAGTTTAAATAAATTACATAAATTCTCTAACAGTACATGTAAGTTAGTGGTTTATTTATTGTTACTGTAATGTTGCGCTGCTTTATTTGTTTAATCGTCCAGTCTGTGAAGAAGGCATTTAAGTAAGAATTGCATTGTAATCTGTACATGACAATAAAAACTTTGAATCCTTGAAATACATGTATTTGATCTTTTTCCTGGCAGCTATCTTTTTACACGGAGCCACTATACACAATAATTTTATTCACTGCTAACAGTTTGCATCAGGAGTTGGTTATTGTAAAATAAGTAATGTGCATGCAGGTGATATTTGTATAGATTTATCTACACCCTTCTGGCAGTGCTGCCATTGCATTCAGGTCTCACAGACTACGAGGAGAAGAAGTTGTCCGACTTGGCTGCAGTCAGTTTATACTCCACCCCTGCAGCCGGCAGCAGATCGCGCTCCTCGTTGCGTCAGCTGCAGACAGACCTAAGCCCAAGTCGAACGCACCCATTGCTTCTTTAAGGGAGGATGGGCAAAATTACAACGTCGTCGGTGATTGGCTGTTGTGCTGGCATTCAGTAAACCTCTGCTCGATAGGTCATCGAGTTGTCAGCGCATTCTCTAAAACGGAGCAAATTTGGTTGATCGTGTTTTATAGTCTGTGTGTACCATCGTGATTGTCCTCATTTTTTATCGATAAAAAATCGAGATCGTTTTATCGCCCAGCACTAATTCAAACAGTTTTTTCCCCCCCATTTACTTGCTTGGGTTTTTTCATGGCACTTTCTTGATTGTTTCTGGCTCTTTGAGAATGACTGGGACTTGAACTAACAACCTTCAGGTTATGAGTGCAAAAATCCTTCACCACTTGTGCGCCTCAGCTGCAGCTAAATTTAAAAATGTGCGTCTCAGTTGTACTGTTCAGGTAGCAGAACGCCAACGTGCCACCTACTGTACATTACAATGCCAGGCAGGGTGGCATGCTGATCCGCCAAAGCTCACAGCATCCAGTGTCTCGACTTTTTTATTTGGAAGGATGTTCCCATCCCCTGACATTAGGGGTTGTGCCATCACTGGTTTAGACAAGGAAACTTCTGAACTGGTCAGCTTGGCTAGGAAAAAATGACACATTAGGCATTGCAATCTTTAAAATCGTTCAGGCATTAACAGTCTGGACAGCTTGCTTGAGGCAGGTGAATTTGTTCCTCATGTTGATGGGCAGGTGAGTCTGTAACAGGACATCGAGCAACGTGCAGGTGATGCAGTTTAGCTCGGCCTAAATTAAAAAGATGTGCTCCTCGGGGAGAGCCGGGTGTTGCCTGACATCTCCTGATTCCTGGATCTTTTTTGATCACCCTCTCCCCCCGCCATCGCTCCCACAGGATTGCCTCTGCTGTTGTTTGCAAACCGGCGTGATGTGAGGCTCGTGGACGCGGCGGTTGGCCGGCCCGAGTCGGCGGTGGTGGTGGCCGGCCTAGAAGATGCAGCCGCCGTGGACTTCTTCTACTCTGAAGGCCTCATCTTCTGGACCGACGTCAGCGAGGAAGCCATCAAGCAGACGCAGTACAACCAGTCCAGCAATGGTGAGACCCTGCCTCTAGTCCCGCCTCTAATCCCGCCTCTGGTCTCATTTCAAACCGATCACTTAGATTGGATCCTAAACTGGATGAGTAGTTTAGTTTATGAATGGTTCTGGGTCTCTCCCTCTCTCCCTCTCTCTCTCTCTCTCTCTCTCCCTCTCTCTCTCTGGTAGCTGTGAAGGAGGCCACGCTGGGAATGGGGCAGACGGTGGTGGTGTCGGGCCTGGACTCTCCCGACGGCCTTGCCTGCGACTGGCTCGGCCGCAAGCTGTACTGGACCGACTCAGAGACCAACCGCATCGAGGTGGCCAACCTGGATGGTACCTTCCGCAAGGTGCTGTTCTGGCAGGATCTGGACCAGCCACGGGCCATCGCTCTGAACCCGGCCCACCGGTGAGTGAGATGCTCGAGGCAGCCGTTTCCTTCCCAGGGTCACCCGGGGGTCACCGCACACGCCATGCTATCTGTGACTGGTCCCCTATGATAGGGGGGTGCCAAGGTCTTCAGCTGCATCTGTTTCCTATTGTTGGGCTTCCAGATGCTGGGACACGACCCCCCCTTCCCATTTCAATGTTGGGGAGCCCACCAGAATAATATTTTTTATTGTTGTATAGCCATGTAACCACCCTTTAGTAACTCACAGAAACACTCATGGGAAGCTGTGCTCTGGGCACCTGACGCAGTTCTTCTCTTCACGCTCTTCGAACTTACGGGTTTCCTACAAGCTCCATGAACTTTGGGGAAAAATGACTTGCAGAAGTTTTCTCTTGGTGTTACCAACGCGCTCAGCGCGGGGCAGGCAGGGGGAGGCCGCTGGCTGGCACCCAGAACCCCACGTGGGGATCGGGTTACTCAGTCCGTCTCGCTTTTTTTTGAGAATAAACTCTTTAAAATCCGCTCCCGCAGTGATAGGTTTTTTCCATAGGTACTTCTAGTGTAAGAGCATATGTTTAGATTTACGCAAAATGCCATGGCACGCGATGGCCGGGGTGAAAACGTACCCCGCGTCTGTTCTCTGGGTTCCCAAAGAAAGTAGCGGAAATCAGCACGCCTCCCCTTAAAAGGCGACTGGACTGTTTGATATCCTCTGTAATGAAATTAAACTCCACTCCCCCCTTTATTCCCACCAATATGAAAGGTTCCAATGGAGGGCAATCCTCTCCCCCCCACCATATTTCCGTCAACGGTAGCCCGTCCGCACAGTAGCCCCGCGGCACCCGGAGTTGGTGGGCGGCAGCCCGGCGTTTTGTAAAGGAGGGCCCCGCAGCCTTGCCTCTCCCTCAGCCATCCCCGCTGTCATTGTCTCCTTCCCAGCTATTGTTTTTAAATTACTTCCAGCTGCCGAAAAAGAGTTAATGACTTATGATCGCAAAAATGAGTAGTGTCTCGTGAAAAATGCCCCGACTTCTTTGAATCAAGGAGAGGGAAGTGAATTCCTATATTCTCCTTCCAAGACGTTGAGCGCCGAGATGAGAAAGGTAACTGGCAGCCGTCTGAGCGGCATGCTCTCCTTGAATCTCTCTGTAATCCTGCCTGGTGGAGAGCTCTGGAGCTGCATTCCCCGTCTAACATCCAGCTCCTCAGAGCTGTAAACTCTCGCCCCCCTCCCGCCCCCATGACAGCTCTCGCTTGCTCTCCACTCGGCGCCGCGCTCCAGGTATGAACTTTGTCCCATTCATCTTCCGGCCTGTTTTTCTCCCCTCTGTTTCTCATTTCTCCCATAGAGGAGAAGGTGTGCCACCTCTTCCTTTCCCCCCCCCCTCTCTCTCTCTCTCGACAGCAATACTGTACCCCAGCCTGTTTACACTGGGGGCCGCTCAGTGGTCGCTGCCCAGTTTGTAAAAGCAGTTACTGTGTGTGACTCAGTGATCTGATAATGTGACTTTATAATGAACCCAAGAAGCTTCCACAGCAGGTTATAATTATCAAAAACAACAATAACAATAATAAGAATAACAATGATGATGACAGTCAGGCTCCATTCATGAGTAAATCCGGGATAGACTTCGGATCCTCTCAACCCTGCACTGGACAAGCCAATATGAAAGATGGATGGAATATTATTATTAGTATAAGTAGTTGTATTTATTAATATTATTGGTGTTTTGTTATTTATAATAATGTTTTTATTAATATTTGTTCTCTTTAGGGTTTTTTTCATTTGCAACAAATAAAAGTACTGTTTCTTAAAAGTTGTAAACTCAGCGTTTGATTGCATCGTTCCACTGAATCAGACGTCTGGGCTGAAACAATCGGTGGTTTATGAAAAGAGCAGTTGGCTACGTTTCCTCATTACCCTGAATCTGGGTCTTGACACCAGCCTTGACGCGCCCCGATCTCTCCGGCGTTTCCGTTTAGCTGTGTTTGTTTAATCCCTAAGCCCTGAAGCCGTCACTCTCCGCTTGGCTGTCACCGGTCGCCTTCAATGAAAGTGGCTTCAGAGAGAAGGCCCATAATTGAGATAAATGTGGCAGGAAGCCGTAGACTGGGGGGGGGGGCTTGGTCGTCACACTCTGCCTGTTCCAAGGAGATGCTGCCCATCTGCACTCTTACAGTGTTTTTTCTTTCCATTGTTCAGCTTTTCCAGAACATACCTTGAAGGGCAGTTTTTCCATCAGCAGCTTCTGTGTGATGGCTTGAAGGGTTGTCCACCTCTTCATACCTGGACCAGACTCTCGATTAGACTGTTTTCAGGCTCAATTCTTCGATTTGAAGACTGTGCAATCAAACGATTCATGAATAATATGATTGTAACAAATATTCAGTCCATACACTGATTTATGCAAGTCCTATTATACTTAGGTTATTGAATAACAGACACATTAATTGGGGAATTATTTGCTGAACCACAATCAATTGTTATTATTATTTTTTATATTTTTTGGAGGTAGTGTTTACTCTCCTGCTTGGAATTCCACATGCACAAATGTTTTATTTATTTATTTGCCACCATAACCCAGCTGATACTCATAACCCCAGTCTATTTGCCCAAACTCAGCTTAATTCTGCTTGCTGTGGAGTGTTTGATAAATTTCCCTCCCTCTGGAATCAATGTGTGTCACTTGATGGCAGTTTTGATGGCAGTTTTATGAACAGTTTTCGCTGTCTCTATAGGCTGGATGTAGCAAATGGGGAGTGACACACACGGAATAGGGACTTTATTTTTGGGACAGGAGACGAGTCACGGTAGGCCTGATGGATCTTGGAAAGGGCTATGGAGGCATAAGGATCTAGGTACGGATGATCAGGAAATGGAAGTCTGAATTGTATGGTGATTGGCAGAGGTGGACATTTCAGGTCCAGAAAATACAAATCCAGACCAAGATTTTGTTTCAACCAACCAGTTGAGTATAAAGAGTCACAGTCACAGAGTACTCAGCTGGTTGGTTGGAACAAAATCTTGGTCTGGATTTTTACTTTCTGGACCTGAAATACTCACCTCTGGTGATTGGTAATAAGGTGCTGGTCCAATAAGTTGTCACCATTACTGGTGTGTCACTGCCAACTTGTGCTTATGTCACAGTTGTCCCCTCACCTCCCCTTCATTGTCAAGTGTATTGAAGCTTCATATAAAACAAATCCAAACTCGCCAAGACAAATTCCACAGTAGAGTGCAGTGTGAATGTAATCCTGTCCTGGTTCTGATTATGCTGTGAATACCTCATGTTCTGTTGTGGTTCCAGTATGATTCCGACTGTAAATTACTGTTCCCTTGCATTTGGAATTACCCCCCACTGTAGTGTTGCGGTAACACCATACACAGACCTCCAGAGGCCAACAGCACAGCGGGTTGCCCTGCCCACCACCCCGCCACACCCTCACACCTCCAAAGTGATCAGCGAATGGGGCGGGATTAGCATGTGTAGCTTAGCCTGCAGATCTCGCCACACATTGAGGTGGCTGCTGGCGTTCTTCACAAGAGGAGACCTTGGAGATGAGCCAAGGGAGCTGATTTATATCTGGTCCCATGGTTGGTTATTATTCTCTCTGGGGAGGGGGGGTATTTGAAGAAAGACAAGCCCCTACAAACACTGTGCAGATAAGGCTTGTTTCCAGAGTGCCGTGCTTGTTCTGAAAGGGCACCACATGTTTAGTCTAGTTGACGTGGCGTCTTTTCTCGACTTGCAGCCCTGGGTCTGTGCTGGGGGGGGGTACACTTCCCTCGCGATGGTGACAGTTTAGTACATGGGCTTATTAGGATGTGGTCTGGCTGTGTGTGTGTAAGTCCTTGCCCAGTATCATGATGGAGGCGTGAACATCACTCATTCTTCTCTCTCTCTTTCAATGATAGGATCTCGAGTTTCATCGCTGGCTCCACTGCCGTAAAACTTCTTCGTCTTCTCCCTTATGTATCCCGCGTTCCACTTACAATGGCTCCTACCACTGTTTGATGCAGTTAACTTCCCCCTAACTTTAATGTTCTTATAACAGCATCATCCATGCGTGTTTTAACCCCTGCTGGCACGGTGAGACTTTGGCATGTAGGGTTCGTGGGAGTTTTACTTGCACTAAAATATTCTGAGGGCAGAACGAAAAATCATATTGCAGAGGAGGTGGGCCCAAGCAACTAGAGGAGGTGGGACCAAGACATCTGATTTGTTGGTCCTGCCTTCTCTAGTTGCATGGACACACCTCCTCTGCAATCTGATTGTTTATCTCTCTGAACCAGTTATTTTTCGTTCTGCCCTCAGAACATTTTTGTTTAAGTAAAACTCCCATGAGCACATCTAGGACCCTGATTTTTATGTCTCCCCCATTTTTTAGGTACATGTACTGGACGGACTGGGGGGAGGAGCCTCGGATTGAGCGGGCTGGTATGGATGGTAGCAGCAGGAAGGTCATCATAGACACGGACATCTACTGGCCCAATGGTCTGACTATTGACCTAGAAGAGCAGAAGCTCTACTGGGCCGACGCCAAGCTCAGCTTCATCCACCGGGCCGACCTGGACGGCTCCTCACGGTCGGTCTTCATCCATCCACACCTCCTCCACTGCCTTCTATCCGTTTATTTTAAGATCTCCATCAGCTGTGATCCATTGTGTTCCTGTGTGCCTTGGTGTCGCTTCAGAATGTAGGTTTGCTTATCAATGTCCGCATGAAATGTCCTCTATCATAAACCTAAAATCAATGACCACCTTTTTTTTGCGTAACCCTACTCCTTCTGGGATTGCACAGTGGAATTCCTGTTAAGTCTCCAGTTCCCATTTCTACATACCTTTTGTTTTTCTGCGAGAGTGGTTGCAGAATTGGTCGATCGAGACAAGAAAGCAAAGTTTAGGGTGTAGAGTCAATGTAACCAGAGGGTTTTCCAATAAACTTCATGCCAAATTATCCCACGAGTAGAGAATGTGAGAAGACCGCTGAGAATATATGAAAGCCTTATTGTTACCACATAAAAAGTCCCCGTCTCCGGCACAGCCAGCTCCCCTCCCACCCCACGTATCCAATAGTATATTTTTTCATGAACCCAGGCGGGCAGAGGTGCAGTGAAATGGGAAATGTGAAAACTGCTGTGAAGTCTGGTTGCAATTAATTTTATTTTTTCCCACCCCTGCTGCCCCTGTCCCTCATTCACTGGACTAACAAGGCAGACCTTGAGATGGAAAGACATCTCCCCTTGGTGGGATGCGTCTGGTTGATAGTGATCCCATGTTCACCCCCCCCGCCCCCCATTTGCATTCTTACAACCTCATTGGTCAGGCTGTCTTGCATGCCCATTGATTGGCTGTCTGCTTCTGGGTCATTAATAAGGCTCAAACCGCCTTCATCATGGGGGAAAGTGTAATGGCCAAAACAGATGCCGCCACATTGATTTTCTGACAGCCTGATTTGTTTAATTTCCTCTGCCGGGAAGAAACACAAAAATTATATTAAATTCAAGGGGTTTAACTTTCGTGCACACTTATAGACCTGGTTAACAACCCCAAAACGCTCCTTTGTTCAGGTCTGTACTTGGCTACTCTGCAGTATTTTTCCCCAAAAATGTTCAGCAAATAAGAAGTTTGACATCCAGGTAGTGATCTAATGATCATAAATTACTTCCATGCTTTTCCAAGTAAAAATTCTTAGCACATGTCTGGAATGATAAATTAAGACTGGATTGCCTTTCAGTGTGAATGAATGCATTTTTTTGTGTGGAATGTGAGTTAAAACTGTTATATGATTTTTCAAGATCTCTATGAGGTATGGCATAAGAAATGTTCTGGGGGACTACCATAAAGAATTTTAAGGTTCCCATTGATGTTGATAGATGTCTGTGTTTTGTTGGTATTTGTGTTTCTAGGGAGACGGTGGTGGAGGGCACTCTCACCCACCCATTCGCCCTCACCCTGTCGGGAGAGACCCTGTACTGGACGGACTGGCAGACCCGCTCCATTCATGCCTGCAACAAGCATACGGGAGACAAGAGCCGGGAGATTCTGGGTGGTATCTACTCACCTATGGACATCCAAGTACTGGGTCAGGAGAGGCAACCTGACAGTAAGTCTCAGGCCATGGGGATGGATGTCTTGGAGAGAGCAGTGTGTGAGATATTGTGTCCACTCCTGTTTTTGACACAGTGTCTGTCAGTACGTGTGAGTATTTACAAAAACTACAACTGCTACTCGTATTTCTCATGTCAGAGAATAACAAAAAAAGATAAAGGGTATGGAAACGACAAAGAGAATAGAAGCTATTACTTGCACATTGCAAAGGGGCAGAAAATTTCCAGAAACTTTCCATTCCATGGGAAGTTAAGCTGGGGAGTTCTGGAAATATTCCAAATTGGAAACTTTCCATGGGAATTAACATTAATATTTGTGAATTAATAGGAAAATTCCCAGAAGTTTGCAATGCTACCACCGTAGATGTATTTATTTAATTTTGACATTGTTCTTTCTTAGCTCCACCCACTATTTCAATGCAACCAATTGCAGGAATTGTAGGCATGACTTGCTTACACAGCTTGGGGCAGCGCAGTTTGTTTGTGTGGGATCAGGCAGCAGAGGAAGGCACTCTCTGCCATTCAGTGCATGGTGTTCACACTTTAAAAGCCATGCAATAGAGCTCAAATCAAGCGTGATGAGTCTATTTGTTTTTCCTAAATGCCTGTGTACTAACTGCCCCCCCCCCCCACACAATTCAGTTTGTATGGGGTGTCTGCTTATGTCCCTCATTGTGGGTGCGTGTGCGCGTGTGGCTGTGCGCGCGTGTGTGCGTGTTTTGTAGATTTCTCAATGCAGTGCAGAAAAGGCTGAAAGTCCGGCTGCTGCCAAGTGAGTTCTTAATAACTTTGGAAAGTTGGCCTTTTCCCGGTGTCCTGGACGTCGGGTTGGAATGCCGAACTGCTCGTAGGCTCCGTGCTCCGGTCGTTTCCGCAGCCATCCTCCCACCCTGCTTGCTTTTCTGCTGTTCGTTACTCTTCAGGCTGTATCACCTGGTCAGGAAATGACAAACGTGAAGAGTGTAGATTTTCTCAGAAGTTTTCCTTTGTAATGCAGTTCACTTCCCTTCATGGAGAACTTTTTATATGTGACTACCAAACTTGGGAGTTTACAGTGTGGTTATTTTGTGACTGAGATTTTGGGAGATTGTACGCTTGGCATACCTCTCTAAACCCTCTACTTTTTTATTTTATGTTTGGCTGAACAGTTTTTGTGTGCGCTAAGCTGTGAAAATTCATGGAATTAGTTCAGGTCTCTGACGTCCGTGGTTGCACAAATAGGTTCCCCCAAACTGCAGACCATAAACTGGGAGCGGTCACCTGGACTGTAAGGCCAGTGTTTCTGGGGAGGTCTCCCAGTTACATGGCATGCTGTTTTGTTTGGCTAATTGTGAGCTTTTTGAAAGCAAAAAAAAAAAAAGCGGAATTCCACATGAGCAAAGAATGGAACTGCTGGCATTCCTCTCGCATATCTTCCCTGACCCAGGAAGGTCTTTAAATCTCTCGCTGACCCTTTTTATTATTATTTTTCCTCAAATCTCTCTTAAATCTGTCATTGTGTCAACAGAGAGGGAAAAAAATACAAAAATCTACCCAGTATTCCCAGTGAGAGCCTGTGTGCGGCTCGGGAGTTCACTAGAAGCCCTCAGAAGTGGGCACGTTGAAATCTGCAGCGTTTACACTGCAAAATGCCAGTGCGCTCTTCAGCTGAGCTGTTTGGTTATCGTAAACTGTTAAACACCCCTGGCTTTCTCCAGTCTCTGAAAGCATCAGCAAGGTTATGTGTGGTCTTTTTTTTTTTTTTTTTTTTTTAACGCCAAGGATAGGATGGCTATTATTCTAGAATCCAGCAGAGAGGACGTGTTCCAAACATTTATGGCCTGAGTCCCGTTTACACGTTAAGTTTCCATTTTGTATTCGGAATTTCATCTTGCACAGATTGTTTATATGCATCTTGCGGCATTACGAGAGCGGTGGAGGTCTTAGAAAGACCACCCAGCCTGTCCGTTAGCTCTCGAAGGTCAGAAGGGGTAACATTTCTCCCTGTTTCCTCCTGCAGTTCACACCCCCTGCTCGCAGGCCAATGGCGGGTGCTCGCATTTGTGCCTGCTGTCGCCCATGGAGCCCCACTACAGCTGCGCTTGCCCCACTGGTGTCCGGCTTCAAGAAGATGGCATGACCTGCCGTCCAGGTGAGACCCAGTGCTTTGGAAAAGGGGGGCTTCCAGAAACTGCCTAGGGAGGGGCTTCTTCTCAAGTTTTTCGGTCCGCAACACAGAGGCAGGTTAAGCATGCTGCCCTCTCTCAGCCTGGGGATATTTCCACCAGCCCGCAGACGCCTCTGGATCATGCAGCGTGAGCAAATAATCAGCAGTATATAATGACCGGAGGTGGAGAAATACTGCTTTGCTCAGGCGGGTTTGCGTTGGGACAGAAACACAGATTGCTGCTCAGTAATTTCTAAAAACAGACATCTAAAACTGGCATCTAAAAAAATCTAAAAACGGGCAAAAACAAAACAATTCTGTTGCATTTTTTTTCATCCCATGACACAAATGTTTTACGACGCTCTGTGGCATGATCATAAAGTTTTTATATTGAGTTTTATCCCTTTTTCCCTCCATAGTCACCCTTCTTGCAGTAGGTGCTTATGGGTAATGTAGTGCTGCCGTTCTTCTCATACCCAGAGTGCTGCAGTGCTGCCTTTGTCCTTGTCACTCCACACTTTGCGGTTCTCTGTCTCCAGCTGCTAATTTAGGCCACCCTGGCCCTTCCCTCCGGCTGCTCCTTCCTCTCTTCCTTCCCTGTTCCCAGGTCCCTTCTGCTGTGTTCTGAAATACTCCAGCCCCCCTCCCCCACCTCAAACACCATGTTTGTTTGCTGTTGCGGTCAGTGTTTGTTTCCTCTGCAAATTCAATTACCAGAAGACGTCTGTTTTCTGGTGGGTCCCTCCGTGTTCACTTTCTGGAGCTAATCCGTCCGTCGTTTTCATCCCAGGCTGAGAGAGGGGAGCAATTACCTTGTGTTTTGCATTTATTTATTTATCAGACTGTTTTTCTGCAAAGCGACATGCAAGCAAGGCAGCTAAAGCATCATTTCCTTGTGTGCTCTGAGTAGACCGCCTTCGTGTCAGGTCCTTAAATATTCTCTAGCGCGTTTGGCTTTGCTCTGTCTGCCAAAATCTACAGCTAGCAAAATGTAAATTTTCTCTCTACTCCCCGCTTCTTCTGTAATTTCCCCCTGGCCAGGTTTCCAAATCGGATCATTTAAGATCTGAATAGTAATATTGCAGTGGCCTCCTTTAAGGTGAGCGGAGCCAGTTGTGGTACCCCAGTGGGGATAACTCTCGTCTGAGCGCCCCCCACCCCCAGGCAGAGAGGTGTGGCGCGGTTCCTCGGGGCCCCTGCATTTGCGGTGGGTGGGAGGGGGCACCCCAGCGGAAGAGACCAGGGATCTCGGGCCAGCCCCCCCCCTCCCCCGGCTCCATCAGTGCCGCAGGAGCGGCTGAGAAAACAGGGCTACTTTCCGTCTATTTCTGAATTCCCCCAGCACTGGTCTCTGCGGCCTGGGGTGTTTTATTGAGGTGATGAGGTTTGGGCCAGACCCCGTGACCCTTCGCGTCTGTCTCATGTCGGGACGTCCGGGAAGCCGTGCCGACCCAGGATGTGCTCACTTTGTGTGTTTAGTGGTGACGGCCTCGGCCTGCCCCGTCAGCTCGCCGCCGAGGAATGTTTACGCTCTTTTTTTTTTTTTTCCTCCTCGGGCGGACATTCTTCTCCTAGGCTCACAGGCCGCAGTCTGATTTATGAGGTCAGGACCCCCTCCAGTCACAGATTTGTGTGTAAAGGTAGCAATAACAATGTGACTCGAACAAGAGCCGCCTGCCTCAGCCCTGAGGTTTATCGGCGGCATTTTTCAGCTGACTCTGTTAACACAGTGAAGTTTGAGCGGTTTTTAACTGCCTGCAGTGTTTGTTTTTTTTTTTCTTTCCTTTGGCCGCCTGTCCCGTTAACGCCTGTCGTCCCGCGTCAGCCTGGCGATAAGCTCCGTCCTTGTAAGTGTTCCATCACCTCGGCAAAGCTCCTTTCCAGAATATCTCTGCTGCGGACACAGCAGACCATTGTGTCCAATCCACTCGAACCCCCCCCCCCCCCCACCAACCCATACTCCACTCTCATAGTACCGCTGCGACCTCCATTCCAGTTCGTAACTGTTTGGGATTTCCAGTCGTATTCCCAGGCCAGCAGACAATGAATCATATTCTTCTGGGCTTCATTCCTGACCTAGGAGAGCAGCATGGAGATGTTTCCCAAAGCACAAGTGCCACCGGGAACAGACCCTGGACAAGGATGGCCGTATTCAGAATGGCTGTGGGATTAAGCTGCCTTTCTGCTGAATTCACAACTAAACCGAATATAAAACAATGCCCAATTATCCTCCCTTCCATTATCAGATCGACAATAAATGGCGTAGTGCATGGTAGGGATTAAAACGGCCGAGTGTCACGTTCCTTATTTGTTTAGCTTGGGTGGGTAAGTTGAAGGCATTTGTTGTGGTCTGGCGGTTGTGGGGGGGGGGGGGGTGGGTGACGTCTTGTCACCTTCTGGATGCGAAGTGGATTGGGAGAACAATTCTGGGGGAAGGGACCAAATCGATGTCCTTGTAATCCGAAGTGTGCCGCTTCCCCTCCGTCACTGCTGATCGGACTCGGGTTCGCTCGCCGTCTTCATCACTGGAGCGTGCACACGCCAGAATCGTGCTTATTAAACATGGCCAGGAGAGGCCGGCCTTAATTACTCCGCGGCACGGGGCCCCAGTGACGAAATGGGGGTGCGACTCGCAGCCGCTCTCTAAACAATGTCGCCTTGGCAGGAACCAATTTGAGAATGTGTCTTGGCGTGCTGCCGATTACAGTGACGATAAGGACCCGCCCGTGGGGACTGGGGATTCAGCACACGGCCAGGGCCGATTGTGTCGGCGTCTGCCGCTCTCCCTCTTGGTGGCCGGTTTGGTCACGCACGCCATTTTTAACCAAGCGTTTAAGTTGATCAAAAATGACGTGTACGGTAATTGGGGTTTCTGACGAGTGGACCGTGAAGGGGGTATTTGCATTTGGTTGAAATTGCTATCCTTCAATGTTTATTTGCCCAGCTTTTTAATACGTTAATTTGAGAAATAGGGCTTGTGTTGAGAAATAAGTTACTGATGTCTGTCTGCATGCGGGGGTGCTATGTGTTTTTTTAATCCTAGGGGCTGAGGAGCTGCTTCTGCTGGCCCGCCGGACCGACCTACGAAGGATTTCCCTGGACCTGCCAGATTTCAGCGACATCGTGCTGCAAGTGGACGACATCCGACACGCCATCGCCATTGACTACGACCCTGTGGACGGGTACGTCTACTGGACGGACGACGAGGTGAAGGCCATCCGGCGCTCGCTCATTGACGGCAGTGACGCTCAGACGCTGGTCACCACGGAGATCCACCACCCGGACGGCATCGCTGTGGATTGGGTGGCTCGCAACCTGTACTGGACCGATACCGGCACCGACCGCATCGAGGTTACGCGACTCAATGGCACGTCCCGCCGGATCCTGGTCTCCGAGGACCTGGATGAGCCCCGAGCCATTGTGCTGGACCCTGTGGGGGGGTAGGTCTCAGAGCTTTAGGGTGCCCTGGCCATTTCCTTCTGCTTTTTTGGTTGCTTTTCATAAGTGCATTTATAGTAAAAGTTGGTGATAAATAATAATTTTAAAATATTACTACTCATTGATTGGTGAACCTGGTGCCTGATTAATGTAGATTCCCCTTCTTGTGCTTTTTGTCTAATCCCATGGTAATCCTATCACTCCTACACTTCATATCAGACTTGAGTCATCCTTGGTGCTGAGGGATCTGACCGGAGCCAAGTTCCTCTTGGCCTGGTCCCAACACCCACCTGTCCCTTCTCTGTCTCCAGATACATGTACTGGACCGACTGGGGGGAGAAACCCAAGATCGAGCGCGCCAACCTGGATGGCAGTGACCGCATAGTCCTGCTCAACTCCTCCTTGGGTTGGCCCAACGGTCTGGCCCTCGACTATGAGGCCAACAAGCTGTACTGGGGGGATGCCAAGACGGACAAGATCGAGGTACCAGACGAACCCCCCGGATCACAGTTGGGTTATTGTTGACACTGCCCCTTGTTAGATAAGAAGGTTAGATGCAGTTGGACTTTGGATCGGTCCATGTCTCTTCATATACATAGACCTATACACCCTTCTACTGCTGTCTACTTAGGTGCCTGAGAGTTTAAAGCTAACAGATCCCTACGTAGACTGTACCTTCTTGTACACACCCATGCAGAAAATCCCAGCCTCCCACCAAATTTACTCAGTTTCACTATTAACTCATTTTTGAGTTACCAATGCATTTTTACCTTCCACTCATTTCTATGTTCTACTCGGTTTTCCGGTACAGTTTGCACAACATGTGTAATGAGCCTGGTATCCGTGGTGACTGTAGTGTGTCCCCCCCCTCTCGTCTTCCTGCGGCCAGAACCTGTATATTCACTGGGAGGCATCCTAGATAAGGCTAGTCGTGGACCTGTGCTTTATCTGACCTTTGCCTAAGTGATAACCACTTTTAACATTCTTCTGAATTTGTGCAATGCTTGGTATTCCTGAATGGCAAAGCCCTCTTCACCTTTAACGCAGTCATCCGCCGAGTCTCCGCAGTGTTTACCTCTGCTCCCCGAAGGCCGACGGCTTCACATTATCACTTTCTTGGAGACTCTCTGCATCAAACATCTGCCTGGCGTGCCTGTAATGTGTCACGGTTAAGTTTGGTGTATCCACCAGACGCTCGTGTAAGCAGGCTTGTCATAATGTTAAACTCCGCGGATCTGCGTGAAGTCTGTGACCCTTGTCCACGCTAGTGCGCGCTTCCTTGGTGTTTTTGTGTTGTATAACGTGTCGGGTGGCCTGTAGGAACAGGTTGAAGGTGTCTGGGCATGCAGAGTTTGCTGTGTTTCTCTCCAAGGGGGGGGGGGGGATCTGTGCACCAAGTGTAGCGTCCCTCCTGGTTCTGCCTTAACCCTTTCTAGCCCCTAGCACTATGGGTGACTCCTGGACTGCTCCCAGCAATGCTAATGGATGTTACTGGCTGTAGTTGTTTCTGGCCAGTTATTTTGGCTCCCTGCGTATTCTGTCTAAGCTCCCGGCGTCCGTGATGCAGCTGCCGTCCCAGTCGGACGATGAACCAGGCTTTCGCTGCACAAATATTTGAACTTAGTATTTACCATAAGCTGTTTCATATCTGAATCCTCTTTATTTTGCTCACTGTGATGCAAGCTGCCCGGAAGGAGATTTTCAGTTTGTGCTCCTGATGTTTTGAGCATCTGCTGGCAGATTCCATAAGTCTCTAAGCCCATTCACCCAAGTTAAAAAAAAAAATAAAAAATTCAGGATCCCCCTCCCCAAAACCACAAAGGAGAGCAGTAAATGGACATCTGTCCTAATTGGCTGCCACATGGACCCATATTTTCTCCCTTATCAGAGCCATGTGTTACTTTATTTCTTTAAAAATTACATAAATTATGTGTTAACTCCTTCACTGTGAGGCATAGTCTGTGCTGAACAACCCCCCCCCCAATACTGGTACAGATTGGATGTATAGTTTTTCATAGAAGGGTTTGCTGACCCTGTGTGTGCACCTGGGCAGCACTTTTCGGGCCCAGCAGTCTTGCCCCTCCCTCCACTGTGCCCCACACCCCAATCTATATGCTTAACTGCAGCACAAAGGGGCCAGTCAGAGCGGCAGAGAGCCCTCTCACCGAGGGAACCATTTGGCAAGGCTCGTCAAACCTTGCATGACAGTCCACAGCCC